AGTCCTGTTTCCCATTGGAAGCACATCTCAGGCTGTTCAGGATCTTAACAAGAAACTACAGTGGGGTATCTGGAATATCAGATAGCCCAGGCTCATGATGTCCAAGAGGCTTGTCCAAGAGTAAAGGCTGGGTCAAGTCAGACTGTATTTATCAACAAAACTCAGATTTGGGGAGGCCAGCTGAACTCTGAGTTACATGCTGGTATCTGTAGGATATGATTGGAAAAGAGGCCAAACTAGGAAAGAGGAAGCATGGCTTCTTCCAGCTTAGTCACTAAGAAGTTTTATTTGATAATGCCAAGGATAATGGTGATGATGATGATGATGATGGTGGTGGTGGTGGCTATTGGTGGCTGAACTCTTGCCAAGTACCTTATAAATATTCTCTCATCAAATCCTGTATTTCATAGGCATACTTAGCCCATTGCACAGATGAGGAAAGTGAAGCTTAGTCAACAATCCAGTGGTTCTTGGCTAGGAGAGGAACAGAACCAGGGTTTTTACCCTTGGTTTGCCTCTGCGTTACCTCTAATTCATTTTACCCTTGGGTATCCATTTCCTGGTCAGCTGAATTTCAAAGATTCTCCTGTTAAGGTTTTTTCCTAGCCTTATAGCCTGGAATGATCTTTGTCCTCTTCTCCAAGATGGGAGCAATGTTGGGGTAGGGAGGGTAAGCAACTAGAGAAGGGAGACTACAGTCTAGATGAAATTTTCACTCAGATGAAGGCAGTTTGGAAATTCTGTGGCCCCTCCCTCTGTGAACAGTGTGTTATCCAGGCCTGGAAAACATCTAAGAAATGACGGAAGCTGTTAGAAAATTCCAGGAGAGCCAGGTCATTGCAAGCAAAGGAGTGTCCCAGAGACTACTGTGGTTCTACATTTGCCTTTTTACCCCTTAACTGGAGGCACTAGATTTTTCCAGACAATAGTTGGAAGGCTAAAATCCGATTATTCCAAATTACAAACAAAAACAAATTTCAGGATTTTACATATTCATGCTGACCTGAGGGGAACATTTCATTCATCTGCTATATGGAATTTTTTAGAGCTTTGAAGTTGCTGCTTTTCAGTGTGTGAGAGTAAAAACAGTATTTACATTGGATGCTCATTGTCTTCATAGTCTTTTTGGACCAGGGGCATGAATCCAATCAGCACTCCTGAATTTAAGCCCAACTCTGTGGCTTAATGACACAGAATATGGGAAGTGAATATGGCCTCTCACTGTCGCAGTGGGAGGACACATGAACTGAACCTAAAAAAAAAAAAAAAAAAAAAAACACCAGGAATAAAAGTCTAAGATGGAAAACGTTGGCATTTTTGTCAGGGACTCTACAGTCTTCTATTCTTGCATGGCCCACGTCAGTTGTGTGGGCATCTCCACCCATGCCTTCCTGTCTGGGCTGAGAGGTGACAAGTGGGGAGAGGGCCTCATGGAGATTCACAAGAAGTGCCCACACCTCCTGCCAGTCGTGGGTCTTTGATGTACAGAGTCCTGGTTTCCTGTTTACATCACCGTGCCTGGAAGAAGGGGTACCCAGAAGATTCAGTGCCCTGGGTGGCAGCCACACAGCTCTTCCTTTTAGAGACGTTGCCCTTTATGACTCTCTAATCCTCCATGGTGTGCAAGGAGGGTTACTATTGTGTAGTTAAAGGGGCTATGGGTGCTTCCTGGGGAATCTGGGGAGACTTTCTGTAACTTTCTCTGTTGGCATCAAAGTAAGCAGCATGCTGAAGCCAGGGGCAGTTTGCTAGGCTGGTGCATTTTTGTGCCAAGAGATCAGACTTTGTAGGTCTTGTCCAGCTACCTTCATAGCTCTCCTGTAAGGCCCTCCCGGGTAAGCACGGGGAAAGAGGCCTCAGCTCTAAAGTCCCCTCCTTAAAGTACTCTGAGTTTGCCTGCCTCAGTCATTGCCCTAGAGAGATAGACTCAAACAATTAGCAGCATGTGGGTGATCCACAACGGCCCCTGAGGGACTGAGGACAAACAGGTAGGTTTGGTCAGGAGGTTCCCAATCACATGCATGCACACACACTCACACGTGCACACACAGCTTTTTCGGTTGTATCTAGAAGTACATGTGTGACAGCCTCCTAGGCTACACATCCAGTAACATACAGATGATTCTTGACCTACAATGATTCAACTTACGATGGTATGAAAGTGATATGCATTCTGCAGGAATCATACTTCAAATTTTGAATTTTCATCTTTTTCCAGGCTGATGCCGTATGGTAGGCCGCTATCTCTGATGCTGGGCAGCGACTTGAGGTGCAGTCCCAGGCCAGCCATGCCTTCACCACGGGAAACAACCAACCTCTACAGACTGTGTTTCACTCTCGGTACAGTTTTCAGTATGTGATGTGAGGTAGTCACACTTTATAATAAAGATGACTCTGTGTGACATGATCTTGTCTAATAGTAGGCAAATGTAAGTGTTCTTACATATAAGGTAGGCCAGGTGAGGCTGCGTTCAGTAGGAAAGGTGTATTTTGATTAGGGTATTTGCAACTCATCAAGGATGTATTGGGATGGAACCTCATCATAAATTGAGGAAGTTTTATTCAAGAATGTCATAGTGGTGTTATTTGACACAGAGAAATCACTGGAAATGAGGCCAATGGCAGGAAAATAACCAGAAATGTGGTGTGTTTCATATACAGCTGTAAAAAGAAACACCGCTGCTACTTGAAACAATACACATAAACAGAGAAACACAATGTTTAGTAGAAAAGAGGAATGTTCGAGAAATGCACAAGCAGGGTGATGCCCCTTTATAAGGCACAAAAATAAGCTAAACTTGTTTAGGCATAAATCCATGTGGAATAAAAATTTTTTAAAAGGAGAGGAATTAAAACCACAAAATTCCTAGTAGCAGTTTCCTCAGGCGGGTAAAGCAGAAGAATGGAGACAAAGGAGGAACATAGAGGTCAAGGGAAGTGGTGGGCGACATTGGTTTCTTCCCTGGGCAGTGGGTTGGTTGTCTTCTCTAGGTGTGGCATTATAACATTATAGCCTGGATCGAATATAACCTATATCTTATAGCTGGCGTTACATATGGTATTTTTTTTTTGTAGGTATGAGATATTAAGTTACAAAAAAAGTAAAACTATCTGTAGTTATATGACTTACCAAACTGACAGAATCAAATTTCAGAGTTCAAGAGTTTAGAATTATCTAATGCAACTCCTAATTTTATATAGTCTGAAATGACTTCCAAAGTGAAAAGGGGCTTGGGCTCATTTGTACAATTCTTTAGTGACTGAGTGAAGATTAAAACTCCTGCCTCTTAGCTCCTAGGCCACAATTCCTTCTTCCATGATCACCCCCAAAATTCTTTTTCATAATCTCATCTGTCCCTCACCCCGACTCCCCCCAACACACAAACAACTGGTAAGTGAAAGCAACATTTAACTGACTTTAACAAAAACGATGAATCAGTAAATCACCTCTCTTCTAGGAGAAAAGGTAAAAAATTAGAATATGGGGATCTTACTCCCTCCTGGAGCAAGCAAAGTCAAGTTTCTTTCTGCTTATCTCTTTTTTTTTTTTAATAGAGGCATGTTTTATTTATTTATTTTGTTTATACATGCACTGGGTACAGTCAGAAGCGCGGGAGGGTGAGAGAATTCACCAGAGCCAGAGCGGGGAGCAGAGCAGGCAGAAGGACCGAAGTACACTGCTGAGGGGAGCAGCGGGCGGCAGGAGAGGTCTGCGCGCCATGTGGGACCCTCCTCCGGTGGCCGGGAAGCAGCCGGGGATCGAACTGGCGCTGCAGAGGCCGCAGGCAGCTTCGCAACCCAGCGCTCAACCGCTGCGCCACCGGGGAGGCCCTCTTTCTGCTTATCTCCTTTGAAGAAGTGCTTGGGTAAGAACCCAGTGGTAGTTAAAATACTGAAGTGTTATGTTTGTCTCACCTCTGATTTGTGGCTCTCAACTCTGATTTGTGGCTCGTTGTTATCTTAAAACAAAATGTCAGCCCAGAAATTTACTGATGAGTATATTTTATATAATTAAGATTGATGGCATTTTTTTTTTTCAAATTTTAAAATCACTTTTTTTTAAAGATTTGATTTCTGTGTTTTCTGTTTCATTAATCATTTTTTTAAAAGATCTGATAGCATTTGAATCTGGATGTAATACAGAGCCTCCAATGGAAGAGGAAAGTATCTTTTTAAATCAAGTGTCCATTTTCACCACAATTTAAAGAAATTGCTGACATTCGTGAAGAGTTGTGATATTTCACATCTATTTATTTTACTCATTTAAGTTAACACATTTGCCTCCTTTCCTTCCCCAGAAGAAAGAGAACAATTCAACTCTATCAAGCCCTTCTATTTATTACGTGGGTGCTCTGGAGTGTGGCGTCTTCTCTGGACTTCCATTCTATCCCTGGTATGAGAATCTCATTATGCTATGTGATCTGAGTTTGAAGACCCTACATTTTATTTCTACAACATGACTGTTGAATGCTTGCCACCTAATTCCACAGTAATGATTTTTCCAATGCTAGAGAAAAACTTGCTATGTTGGGCTTACTGAAAGATTCTGTCCTTTATGAATGATTGAAGGTCTTTTTATTTTTTTAAATGAACTGATAGTCAATTGAGCACCAGTTATTTCCAGTTTTCTTTCCAAACACTTTAAAGGTTGCACGTCTCCATTCCCTTGAAGTTAGGTAGAGCCATGTGACTTATTTTGACCATTGAAATATGAGCAGAAATAAGATATGCAATGTTTGGAAGAGAGCTTTAAGAGTCAGTATACTGATTCATGCAGATAATTTTGATTTTACACCATTTTTTGTCCCACTTACTAACTTGGGAGCATAAGATGTGACTACACATAAATCTAGACTTTCTAAATATATTGAGTTGGAGACACTGCAGTTTTCAACCCATAAATTTCTCCAGCAGGAACACTGGAGACCCTTTCAGTGTAAGCAACAAAGTTTGAAGATAATAATTGAAGGAGAAGCAACAACCAAGTTGGAATCCACATTTATTGATGAGAGATATATACACAAAAGTTAAAACACTTAGTGAAATATTGGATTCACAGATTATTTCCAGTATATAAAGAATGTCCAGTTATTTTATACACGAAATGTTACAGTCATCAGTCCACATTGTAAGAAAGCTTAGAAAGCTAAAGGTGAAAACAAAGGACCTTGATTACCCAAAATGTGCTTTGCCAACAAGGCGGTTACTAGTCCATAGGTAAGAAATAACCCAAAAATTAGTTGAAGATTTTATCTTTCTGTATTCATTAGTCTTTAAACACTATGTGCTGTAGATAATCTATGCTACGTGACTATAGACCAATGGGGATTGTGAATGAAGAGAAACAATTACCTTTCATTCTGGACATAGAAGAATCTTCAAAGAGAATCCTGCCTAAAGGCCAGTTTTCTTTCAGTAAAATTTTCCAACCTAAATTTGACTGGCGTTGAAGAAGCCACATTTTCAAGGGAAAATGCGTTTGTCCACCATTTACATCCCCTTATTCTGATTGTTCGAGAAGTCACTGCAAATTAATGTGCTTTGTGCCCTCAGGAGAGCTCATGTGAAAAGAGGGACACACAGTGTTCCCCACTGCACAGGGCCTTTCTTGTCCTTGCAGGGGAAACGGGGATGCAGGGACTATAGACCTCACAGCATTCCACTTCGGGATAATTAGAGAGTGTGTGTTTTAAGAGACAGTTGTACAACTGCATTCGTGAACATCTTCAACCACTCAACACGCACACAGAGCCTACCAGGTCAAGGTCATATTCCAACATAGGTGGGATCTGTTCTTCCTCAGTTGCCCTTCTGCACACCAAGATGTACACTAACCATTCCTTTACTTCTAGAGCTCTATCTTCCTACAGATGACTGTGCAGGTTTCTAGCAGAACTGTGCTTTTATGGAGTTTGACCTGCATGGATGTTAGCCAGTGACTGACAGTCAATAGAGCTATTCACCAATTATTGACCTGACTCAAGAAGCAAGGAGGACAGGGCCCCTTAGAACCTCTAAGTTGTGAGCATCCTCATCAGTATTTGGCAACCAAAGAGGCAGACCTCAGGACATGATTCAACCACACGCAGTAACAGGTTAACCTTTTGTCTCTCAGAGTCCAATCCACCAAGCCATGGAGAACCGTAAGGAGAGGTCCTCATTCTAAACCTACCTACACCGAGATAATCAGAAGTTTCACTGCTGTGTGTGCACAGGCATCATATGACCTTTCGCTACGAATCAGAACGCACATCTAACCCTTGCCTGCTCTGAAATGTTTATTTACAAAGATGCGGACACACAGATTTTCAATCATCAATACACAGGATTCACAGGTAAGTTCTTCACTGATATACATCCTCAAGTCACAGCAAAGAAGAGGGGAAAAGATTCACTACTATGTATCTAAGGAGGAAAAGAAAGGTTTTCAAAAACACCAACCAACATATCTACCGCATTTCGATGAACAGCCAAAAATAACATTTAACTTAAATTATGAAACATCTATACACCATTTCACTGAAATTACACATAGATACCTACATTATAGCCACACAAGTGCATAGGCACTGTTCTTCATGCGTGAACCAAGCATTACTGTGCACACATAAGAACTTCATGCTTTGACAGCTATCTGTACTGGAAAACCACAGATACATCATTGCCAGCTAAGGGCACATCTAATCTGTTCGGGTAGGGTTTAAAGACATATTAGTACACTTCCTATGTAACTTTTTTGTTTTTTACACAAGTGGCAAATATGGGAGCCCTACAACCATTTCAGGAAGTGTGTTTGGTGGCGGGAGGAAGACCCCCCCTTGTCTTTGCAGTGGCTATGATTTGCCGTTTGGGGAAGTTACATAGATTGTTATTCACCTGAGGACAGAATCTACCTGGGCTGCTTCTAAACAATTTCAGTGTGACTCTAAGCCTCCACCTCCAGTCCCAGTGATGAGTATTGCTTCACAGCTGGTACTAATAATTTTTTTATTAAAAATATGTGCTCAATTCACATTACAATGTGACATTTACCACTAATGTGCTTGGCAAAAATGAACTGCAACAAATCCGTCCTGATTTGCTTCCTAGCATCACCCTCAGTCTCTGTTACTAAGAGTTTTCCTAGTTCGATGGTCACATAAATAATTAGGAAGGCATAGAAAATTCTGAGACAGAATTGACCCCACTATCATCACCTTGGTTTTCATCTTCTTAGAGAAAAAAGTGAAATTTTAAATGCTTAACTGGAAAAGCAAGGTCTGGTGTTAAACAGAGGCATCAGTACCGTTCCTTAAATTAAAAAGACTAATTATTTAAATGCACATTCTAGCTAGCTAAGGGATTTAAAGGATTCCTGTTCTTTATGGTCATTTTGTTCATTGCATCACAAAGGACTAGGTTCTTAAATCTTTTGAATGTGGCTATATGCTCAGGGAAGAACTGACAACTCTAAATTGCTGTAGAAATGTCCTGTTCTGTATGAGTTATCATTCTACACCTGTGATTATATAGAAAACACCATACGAAAATATCTGTCTGCAAAATTACAGATACTAAATAGATTCGTTCAGTCTATACTGAGTTCTTTATGAATTATGAAGAATAGATACAAACCTATAACATTATTAAAGACTAACGTAATATCAAACATATAACATCCAAGACTATAAATACATTCCTCATGCTCTTTATAAATAATAACAAAGAAACCCTGGGATTTAAGAAGAATATAAGAATGGGCTGGAGAAATTTGTGAGTTTGGGGTGCAATACTGATCAGAGAGCAATGTTTCATTCCCAGTAACATAGGTTCTTACCAGGAAGCCAAAATATATCTGCTGACTGCAAGATCAAATTAGATTCACAGTTTGCTAGCTCTTTCCTCAAGCTGTAAAAAACAAATAGAAAAACAATGTACAAAAATTCTCACAAAATTAGTTTTTTATATACAAATCTCTATAGTGACCAGATAATCTGATCTGTGTTGTGCAACATGGGGGTGCAATGCCCAGGTTTCCCAGGGAGAGGAGAAGGGGGGAATTAGGGTAATGTGTAAAATCTGGATGCCAAAGGTAGGGTTCCTAGTAAGGAAAATAACTCTCCTGGAATATTAAGCAACCAGAGTGCCAGCTTTCTGGTGACACATCTCAGAGAATTTGCTCCATGGGGAGAACCCCCAGAGATGTGCTAGACCAACCTTCTTCCACCATAGACAGCAGGCCCTTTGCAGGTTGGTTAAATGGTTGCCAGGAGAAGACTCAGAGTCCCAGGAGGAGAGACATTCCAACTGCATCAGCCCCATCTCCGCAGGGGACAGTGGCAGGAGTGACAGCTGTTGCATTCCAACACACACCCAAGGATCCATGGTGTCTCTAGAGTAACTGGGAACCTGTTGCTACCTGTGCTCCAGGTCACCTGCTGGCTTTGCAAAGCAGTGGATCTGTTCTAGTAGCTCTCTGTAGTCTCAGCACAAAAGGACCCTGTTTACCAACAGTAGGACTTATAAAAATATCAAAATGGATACTTGGTTTGGAGGTAGGAAGGTGAAGCAAGGTTGGACACAGAAAAAACTGATCAATAACTATTCAGGATATTACAGTGAATGGAAATAAAAATGCAGGAGTGTCTTATTTCTCCATAGATTCTTTTATGGGTAAGATAGCCTTTTTCTTGCTGCTCTTGCATTGTCTTCTGAACTCAACATTTTTTTTTCTAACACAAACCCTAGTCTGGCCTAACATCTCCTCCAAATCTGAAGCACTGAAGTCTTCTCTGGCAAGGGTAGGCTGCATTTAGTAAGGCAGCAAGCAGCAGCTTCCTGCAGAAATACCAGAAACTGCAAGAGATTATTTAAAAGCCATGACTCATGACCCCTACATTTACAGACAGACCATGCATTTTATCCACCTAGAAACTTCTCCAGCATTGAAGTGGTCAAAGAGCGCCAGCCCTCCTTTCTTATAAGAAAGAGCTTCTCTACCTGGGATGTGCTGGCCACAACAAAAGTGAAGAGGAAAATCTGAAAAGGAAATCCATCAAATATCCCTGCATCACTCTTCAGCGAGAGGACTTGGTCCAGCTCACGAGTGGTAGATGTACGTGTCTGTGTACAGACAGGCAGAGAGACAGAGAGGGAAGGTATTTCCAGTTGCTGTTATTGTGTAAGTCTTGCACCAAATTTCATAAGCACATTCAAGACAATTTGCCAATGGCTCCCAAATTCCCATACTGGGTTGGTAATTGGGACTGTTTGGAGAAAACTGTGTGTTGTGGGCATTGGCGTGGGCTCTGTTGCCATAGCAGGCATGATGCAAGACCTTAAGGGAAGCTGCAGACTTGTCCTATCTCCTCATGGAGATTCCTGTGGCATTGTTCCCTGAGCTGAATTGCTATTTTTCTAGTAAGACAGTGAGTTTAAGCAAAGGGCAGTTTTATAAAGGATATCTGCGTCCCACCAACACCAAACTGTGGATTAACAAGGCCATCTTCTAAGTTTGTTGTAAAACATCGAATTAGGAGAGACTTGAAAGTAACTTTCCCTAAAGAGGATGCAAAAAATCCAAATTGAGAATGCATTATGTTGGGCCCCTCAACTTAATATATAAGAAGAGATTAAAACAGAGATCACAATGTCATAGGTTCTTAGGGTTGGAAGGGGGTTTTAATCATTCAGAACAATGCCTTCATTTTATGTATGGGAAGAAACAAGCCTTGGGCATGTAAAGTGACTTGTGTAAGTTATACAGACAAAGCTTGGCAGAATCTGTGACCTGTTTCCTCTACCCAACTGCCATGTCATCACCTATTGATGCTATGAGATTAGATACTATTTAATTAAATTCCCTTTTTCTCTTCTAAACCAACCAGCACTAATTTGTACAGTTGTTTACTAAAACGTCTTTTAAGCAGCAACAATAATAAGTGGAATAAAGAACAGAGGAGAACAAGTGGGCAACTGGGTATTTTAGGAAAATCATAAGCAAAGGTGACACAAGCAGCTTCAAACTCACTCCACCCAAGGAAGACAATCTCTAGTGCCAACCTGTCTTGGTTGGCACTCAGTGGCCCTTTTCTGTGTTTTAGCTAGAAATGACAGATACTAAGACCATCCATCTTCTTTGACAATTAGATTTGCAAAACTGTCACTTCAGAACACCTTCAGGCTCTATACTTAATCTTCTTAGGTTCCCAGACCCCCACATTCTTATTCAAAGAGCAAATACTACAAAAGCTGAAAAATTCCATTTGGTCCTTTTCTTGGCTTAGAGTAAATTCATTTGGATAAAAGCAAAGCAACCTCAGACAACTGCATGGCTCTAAGAGTTGAAGAGCAGCTAAGATTCCCAGAAAAACGTGAAGAACCACCTTCACTGGGTGTAACTGCTGAGTACTTACAGTCATCCAGCTAAGAGCTGCTGAGACTTGTTTGTCCAGAGCCTGAACTACAGAAGATGATCTCTGAGTCAGTATATATCTATTTGGATTTATTGCTATAGTTTCAGGGAAAATACAGAACAGATAGAAGTCTTGGTTCTGACAAAAGTGAAGTTGTACCCCAACTTTTGCTTTTGGAAACAAAGGGAAGTGTGATATTTGCAAAAACATGTTTTTTGGGGGGGCCCAGTAGATGAGTTACCCAACTCCCAAAGAGCTTCTTGACTAGATATGCTTGCAAATAATATACTTGTTCAAGCATGAGGTCCTGTGTTCAACTGGTCATTGGGATTCTTGTCATCACCTACCAGTACATCATCCCCTGAACTGAATTCCCCCTAACCCTTTCTCACCTCCTACCAGTCTAAATTCAGGATCCAGTAGGAATCTGGGTGCCCTGTTGACTTTCATGAATATCTAAGCTGACTAGTAGTTGGAGAGAAGTCAATATTTATCTTTAATGGCACATGGTCACTTCCACAGGCAACAAGAAGATAGACCATATTCTCACACCCACTGGGAAGAAAATAATTGAAACCAATAGACAATTACTTCAGAGCTCTTCACTGAAAGCCTCTATATAGAAGGTCTATGGGATCTAGACCATCTCCTGATTCTCTGATTGCTCTTTGTCTGGAGGCAAAGATCTAAGGTAAATTCTTACCTTGAAAGATAAAGTTATTCTTCTTACTCATTGGATTTGATTCACTGAAATTATAACAGGTAATCAAATAATAATTCCGCCAGGGTTTCCCAACAGGCAAAAAGTGAGAAAGGAGGCTTGAAGTCTACTTACTTGGTTTTCTCCTGAAATGATTCTGATTCCTAAAATGAGTGAATGAGTCTACAACAAAATGGTAATGCCAAAGTCCTGACTTACATACCTTAGAGGGCGCAATGCATCTGTTTTTGCATTATCAAATATTAATGGATTATTATAAGCATTCATATCTCTGCTGGCCCTATTCAGATCAATATCTCTCTTTCTCTCTCTCTCCATATGTGTGTGTGTATGTATGTGTGTGTATATATATATGTATATATATATATATATATATATCAGGTAATCCTATTTAGAAAAAAGTTGTAAGAGGTATACTCTGGATATTTTTTCTCTGTTTATGGCACATATATACTGGGTGAGGAAAACTTCAATGGACATGGCATGAGAAGAATTACTGGGACCTATAAAAAAACAGATGACACAGTCATACATGTCAGTTCTACATATACCCTGCAATTTCAGGCTAATCCTGAATTTGAGAAATTGGTCTTTTAAATGTTGGGGTTTTATTGAATTCACAGATAAATGTATATAAATCCTAAGTCTATTTAATCTCTTGAAACATTGCATAGTCTCAAACCAGAAAAACCTGTTTGTTAAGTTGTGCACCTTATTTCTTTCAAAGGCATTGTCCCTTTATGTATTTTAGGAAGAGCTGAAGACAGAGAAAACTGGGAAACTTGGAGTCAGTCTTGGGGAGACCGACCTGGAACCACTCCTGCAAGAAACATGTTGGCATGCACAAGTGCTAAGCTGGCCATGGCAAAATACACAGGATTCTAGATACCTCGCCTTGGTCCTTCTCCTCACCATAAAAAGCTCTTGGAAGCACAACTCAAAGCCCATCCTCAGCAGCTTCACAACTAAATCCAGGAACTGTCCCCTTGACCCACAACATTTGGTATAAGGATGTTATTTTCACTGCTATGTTCTTGACCATCTGGTAAAAATGAAGACCAATGTCATTAAGAAAAAAAAAAAAACTGCTTAATACTGATTAGTAGTGATCCTTATTTAAAAAAAAAAAAGACAAGGTTAATGAGGCAAAAACAAATGGAATCTAATGTCTCTTATATGTTCCAAAGGTATATGATTTGGTAAAAATTGTCACAAGGGATAACAAGAAAGGGTATGTGAAGTCCATAAACACACCCTCCTCAGAGAATCTGGTCTTATGACTCTTCAGTAAAATCTCAGCATTTGTCTGCTGGTCTCAGATGTCTACCCCACTCTCATGTGGTTCTACATAGTTCTTAGAGGCAAGTGTGCTTTATGTCTCAATGATTCAGGTTCAAGTCCTTAACAAACTCCCAAACCCAACAACCTTACAAAAATACTGTGAGTTATTCCATAAAAAATAATAGTAGAGACATTAACAAATGTAGCTTGCATAATCATTCAGGATCCACTGCTTACCCACAGTCTGCAAGGCACTGTGCCAACTCCAAGGATATGTTCAGTCCCTCCAACTTTCACAGCCTTGAAAAGATTCCATCTATGATGTTGGGTACAGCCATCTCTTGTTCCTGCTTCATGGTTCAAGTTTGCCTTGACCTTGCTATAGCAATGTCACCTTTATAGGATTGTGCACATATACTTGTTTTCTATTCCTTTCCATAGAGAGAGCTAGGAGGAAGATTGGATCTGCTTCCAGCTGTGTCCTGCAACTGGTTTTAATGTGCTTTGATATAATGTAACAAATAGCTTTCTACATATTCGATGGATAACCATGTTTCATTTTTCTTCTTATCAAGAGAATGGCATCAAAAGAGAAACAGTCAACACAACTCTCCTCCATGTGTGAGGAGAGTAAAATGATTAGGCCTTCAAGGTTGATGAGAATACGATGGAAATAATTGGGGGATTAAAAATTGAATTTTATGTTAGAAACCCAAACAAGAATTTGATGGGTGAAACCAAGAAAGTGAAGCATAGATCAAATAACTTCAGAGCTTGATTTCACTACGAATGGTGAATGCAAACCAAATAGAGACAAATTTGAGTATTAGAATGTTGTTAAAATTTACGTTGACTGTGTTCCCTTTTTTTTTATATATAAGGTGGTTATATGCAAATTACTTCCTAATTCATTATCAAATGAAGAACAAATTATGAAACACACTTTGGAACTACAAAGGGCAGGGGAGAGATTCCACGGGTGCCATAATCAGCTGCCTTTTGAGTATGGCTGCCACTAAGACTCTCTTTGAAGATCTGCTCTAAGGAATATACTGTATGATCCAAGTTTCCCTAAGACAGGTACTTGCATTTACCAAACATTTAAGGGGAATTAGGTCTAGAGGCTTCTAACAATTTCATGTGCATCACAAGGTGAGGCATGGAAAACACTGGAAGGAATACACACTGAGTGTCTGCTCATCGCCCCAAGCCACTGGGGTGTGCCATGCTGCTTTAGTAGTGTCTCCTGGGAAAAGAACACCCACGGTTCTGCCTCCTGAGAGAAAAGGGAAGCTGGCAAGAATGTGTCTTCACTTCAAACCAATTCCTCCAGCCGCATCCAATCAAACGATAATACAAGTGACAACATTAGACAGTTACAAAGCATTATTTGGCAAAGACACGCACCGTGCCTACCACTGACTCAACAGGTCCTCTAAGCCTCAGCTAACAGATTAAGTAAACAGAGAAATATATGCATTTTTTTTCCTTTTTAAAGAAAGCTTGTTTATATCCTCTTTTACCATAAGACACGCCGGGGAGTCTATTCAAGAATTTGCTGAGAGTCATATCCTTATTTTTCACGTTTCCAAGGTTCTTCCTCAGCACTGCAGTCAGCTGACTTCCCATTGGCTGCCAGAGTCACCTGAAAGTAATTGCCATCAACATCCACCTTACAGGCCTCCAACCAGACACCACCCCGTGGGCTATGTGGAGTAGCACCAGACCCGGGTGTGCGGAGCAGCTTAAAAATGGATTAGTTTCAAGTAGTGTTCCTTCCAAGTTGATTTTGAGCTGGTCTTTGTTTTCGCCACTGATTTGTGAACATTAAAGAGACACATTGATTGTGGGGGACATTGAGGGATAAGGGATACTTCACCAGGTGGAGGATAACTTCTGTGCTTTTAGGATTGTGGGGGTGTCTGAGGACAATACACCTGCCACCCCAGAATGCTGTTCTTAAACAGCAGTGCCTGTGTGCTGCTCCACACAACCACAGAGAACAAACCAGAACTAGGCAGCTAGTTGTCCTCATGCATGTGAAAGGTTCAGTTGCAACAAGGCCAGGTGGATTTTATTCATGTTTAATTTTACAGTAAAAAAATCATGATGGTTTGACTCTACCAAATTAGCTCTCCAGTCTTTAAAAATTAAAAGGGAGAGAAGAAGAATCTGAGATCAGTGACATGAAGATCTAAATTTATTTCAATGTAGACATGCAGCAGAATGACCAGACTTCCCTGGCTATAAGTGAACTGAACCTTTACACAGAATGGGAGGTTTTCCCTCCACTTCTAAGTAATTTTCCTAGCTTACCTTCCATCTGTCTGTCCTCAACGTCATGTGCAAACTTAAACCCACGACTGATATTCCACATAATGGAGAGACTGGATTTATGGAAGCATTAGAATATGGAGACATGACAAACGCAGCAATGTTTGAAAGAAATCTGACCTTCTTCTTCCCCAAGTGGAAGTGACATGCATGCATTAGGAACACACACAACATGCTAGGAAGGGAAAACTAAGGGCCCTTCACAAACCAAGCAAGTGAAAATAAAAACTATTCATTCCTCCCATTTCCATTAGGCCCCCACATTTTTTTATTAGCAAGACCATGCAACAAACAAGACCATAGTGCATGCAGTTACTATGATGAAAATAAAAAACCTAGGCACCATTTCAAACTACTGTTACAAGGCAAGAGTTTGAAAATAGAGAGATCCAGATGACATAACAATGCTTGAAGAGGTTCAGGTGTGACCAGAGCTGCAGCAAATTTGTTTCCCCTGAAGTGAACCATCAGGAAAGATGGCCAGAGACTAACGTATGTCTGTCCAACCTGCCCTTGAATGTGCCTATTTGGCTTTTAGTGATGACCCAGATCAAGAGACGTGCAAAATTGCAAATCACTTTGGGGTACCTTTGGAAAACCTGACAGCACAGACGGGAGATAGTTTTTTGGTTGTTTTTAAATACTGGGGTATTGTTTAAAAAGTATCTGGGAGACAATTTTTTTGTTTTGTTTTGTCATTTTGTTTTCTGGCCAGGTTAAAGAAGCTGGGACTCCACTCCCCAATCTATCCCATCACAATCTGTAATAGAAAAGCAAAAAATGGATAAGGACTGGTAGTAAGCTTTGGTGTCTCCCATCTCAGTTTTTAAAACAGTGAGACTAGAGGGCCTCTCCTGGTGACACAGGTGGTTGAGTGCAGCGCTGTGAGGCTGTCCGCAGCCTCTGCAGCGCGGGTTCAATCCTGGCCGGCCAGTGAGAAAGCACGGCAGACCTCTCCTGTCTCGCCCGCTGCTCCCCTAAGCAGTGTATTGTAGTCAGTCTGCCTGTTCTGTTCCCCACTCTGTCTCTGATGAATCTTCTCACCCTCCTGCACATCTGGCCTATACCCCAGTTCCTGTATGCATGAATAAATAAATCTTTAAAAATAAATAAATAAATAAGACAGTGAGACTAGAAATGGACCAGAAGGAAGTTCAAAGGCATGATAAATGTGACTCAGATATTCTGGGAAAAGTGTGCAAATTTATCTCCACAGCTTTGGCTGCCTCTTTGCATATCAGTGTCAACTCAATTAAGTTGTCTACAGTGAGGGATTGGTTTGCCCTACCTATCAAAGGTTAATGACCAACTCATCATAACTGAGCTGAAACCATCACTTCATTGAAAAAGGCTAACAACCAGGATAGCTTTTAAATCAACAAGGCCATGGGCCTCCCTGGTCGCACCAAGGGTTTAAGCACCGCACCCTGAAGCAATCCGAAGCCTCTGCAGCACGAGTTCAATTCCTGGCCCTCCAGGGAGCAACCCACATGGCGAAACAGACCTCTCCTGTCTTGCCGGCTGCTCCCCTCAGCAATGTGTTTTAGTCAGTCTGCCTGTTCTGTTCCCCACTCTGTCTCTGGTGAATCCTCTCACCCACCGCGTCTCTGGCCTGTACCCCAGCTCTTGTATGCACACATAAATAAATCTTTAAAAAAAATAAATCAACAAGGCCATTTCGTTACTTCCATAACCTGCTCAGTTTGACTAATTGATTCTCTAAAGGCTAATTCAGAATTTAGAGATGGTTGGTTAGGCAGCCAATTATATAGAGACTGAGCCACTAACTGCAGAACTGTATAGCCAAAAAAGTTCTCTGAAATAAAGCCTATGGTTAAGATGACAAAAAAATACAAATATTTATAGAGCACCTACTATGTGCCAGGCACTGTCTTAGGTGCCAGAACACAGCAGTGATAAATGGAGACATAGTATCTCTCCTTGGGGCCTTACTTCCTAGTGATAGGGATAATTCACAAATATTTCCCTTTAGCATTTGAATAGTTTTGCTTAAAAACATGAGACAAATATTTCCTGATGAGTTTGATGTCCTTTAAGAAAAATCAATTCAAGAAGTCTAAATGCTAAAGTTATCTGCACACCTACCATCCTCTTTAAAACATGTCCTATACAATTTTGTTAAGAAGCTCCTTGAGAAGTTCCAAAAGGACCATACCTATCTAATCACACTTAATTAACATTAGGATTCTTTATATATATATGTCTGTGAAATTTAAAAATATATATGGTGATTTCATTTGTTTCATATTACCATTTTTGCTTGTATGGTAGTCATGTGGGTTAAAGCTTTATCTCTACTACAAAATTATACATTCATTTTGCTGTCCTCCAGTACCTAATTCAGGGCTTTGACGATAATGGAGACTCAATAAACACTTGATTAATGGTGAAAATATAGAAAATGATAGGAATGAGACAGGGCACTCAAATAAACCCCACAAGGAGCACAATAAATATCTTTTAAATATAATAGAAATCACTGCATAGGAATGCCAGCCCCTGTTCCCACAAACATTTTGATGGGGAATAATCCAGCAATCATTTAGATGTAGGAAATACCAACTTTCCGGGAGAATGGAGTATGCCCTTTAATAAGTACATCTGAATGTCCAGTAATTTGAATCATTTTCATGAAGAGTCAATTAATTATACAATTGCCTCTTAATGGGTGGGGTCCCTCCCTAATTTATATCAGAGCCCTGGTTCATCCACACATATACCAGTTATAAAGGGGAAGAGCAAAAGAGATGGCTGGTCCATAAGAATTCTAGACCTAATTTAAATAGTCCAGTAAAGAAAATTACTTGTGTCTCCTTTTCAATTGCCTCATGGAAGTGATGGTGTATATTTAGAAAGACTCAGAAGTAACACAGGGAGAAATTAACTATTACATGATGTCTTGTCAATAGCAATGAAAAGGTATCAGAAATCTGTGTTGGGTTTGGATTATCTACAGTTGTTCCCTCAAAGCATTTTAGCAATCCAACTCCCAGAGCTGTCTTTGTGTTCACCTGCCAGGGTTTCTCCAAGTTTGCTTCACTCTGGTCATGACACTCTGTCTGGACAATGTCAGGTTAGTTACAATGTAGGCTAGACAGAGCCCATCAAGCTTGAAGACTAGCACCCAACAGCTAGGAAGAGTCCAGAACATCCATGCTTCAGGAAAGTTGGTGCTACCAGGTAGTGTCTGAGATGTCATATTTTAAAAAATAAATCTATAGATAATTGTCCCTAAGAGTGGTCACCCTTTACTTGAAACAACACCCCCATTCTTGGAGCAAAGTGACTGTGAGGTTAAAAGTTACCCTTCCCACAAAAACAATGAGGACAAAGCTGCATGATGGCTATGTGGGCACATTTTTGATACAGCACTTAGATACTTGCTGTGGGTCACATAGGAAGAAAGGACACTTGTGCTACATAAATCAAATGATTCTGGTTATTACTCTTGGTGTTTCACTTCAGGAACAAATTATTTGAAAGGCCACATAACCATAGACACCACAAATTCTTGGGCAAAATCATCAAGAAAACCAATCAAATTAATGGAGTGAGTGAGTGGGGGAATCAAAATGGTTGTTTGGCATCACCTGGGGGGTAATAAGCAATGATCGGCTCTTTCTCTGCTAGAACTATTCATTTCCTGCCATGTTAGATACAGAGTTAGATGATCTGGCACTCAGAGAAGCTTGGGTTACATGAGCCTTTAGGAAATTAAACGTGACAATAATACATGCAGGACTTTTGTGTTTGTTTAAAGAAACGAGCATGCACTATTATATACAGGTCTCGATATCCATGAATGGGAGCGGTACCTTGCACTCATCTACTATGACAGAGTTGTGTGCGGCATAGACACATTGGTTAGAGTTGCTTTCCCTGTGGTTCTTCATGTCATCATAAATGGACTGAGTCTTGGTCATTTCAATATCTTCATGCACTCGGTGCTGGGAGTCAATGGTATCCAGCTCAGACTTGGAGAGGTGGTAGACAATCCCAGCCCCAAAAGAGTCACCCACAACATTGACTGATGTTCTCATCCTGTCCCTGGGGACAAAGAACAGAAAATGTTTAGTGGAAAAGTGGTTATCATGTCATGGTTGAGAGATTAAGGTCTAGAACCAGAGAGATCCTCTGCCCCCATCTGGGGCAAGGTACTAACTGTTGTGCCTTGATTTCCTTTTTTGTCAACTAGAGACAAAAACCGTACTTCATTCATAAGCTTGTGGGAAAATCAGATAAGACAAAAAATATAAAGTTCTTAATAAAATGTCTGATGTGTGGTAAACACCCAATAAACAATAGCAAAGAAAATGGAGGAGGAGGGAAAGAACAATTAAAGGAAAATAATGTGGCCAGATTTCAGAATAAGTGCCCAGACTCCAGGAATTGTCCAGCAATTTCAACCAAAGAAACTTCTTTCAAGACTCCAAATTACTGCCACTTCTTCATTAATCCTATAGGAAAGAGTAACCAATTCTGAATTCTCCCATAGCAGAAAATTCATTTTTCTGTAAGGGTCAAAACTAATCTTAGAGCCTTTTCCCTACACCCCACCCCCCGCTTCTTCCCCTAACACACATAGACACAGTGGTACAGACACAGATGTTATATAACACACACAACACACAACACACAACACACACAAACACGCACACTGATATTGGATACCAAAATCAAGATGAAAAGGGCCTTAGACCTGGGCATGAACCCTAACCCTGCTGACTCCCCTTGAACAAATCACTTCTCATTTGAGCAGCGAACTGTGGGGTGGGATGAAGCACCACTTCACAGGAGATTAGGAAGATTAAATGAAATGAGACAAATACTCAGCATGCTTTGAATATTCACTAAAGACTGTAGAAGCACATGAGCATGAAAATAGTGAACTGGAAATAAGAAAACATTAACTCTGACATCTGCTGAATTCTTTGTCAATTTGTGTATTCGATAGACATAGCATAACCTCTTGCTGTGGGCAGCTGTCCAGGCAGCAGTGAATAAGACCAGACTCTTACCATGCTATTCCCTCACCCCTCAAGAACCTACACTCTTTTTCCTTGCCTATTTCCCCAACTAGAGAGAGGTAAAAGTTCAAATAGAAATAAGCCCTGGGTGCTATGGAATTCTGTAGAGAAGGTATTATCAATACTTGGGTCCCAGGAACTATTGTTTCTCACTTAAAGCCTAAGGATGAGTCTGAGATGATAAGCCAGAAGGAGGAGAGAAATAAAAAGTGCAAATTCTAAGAGGTAGGAGCAAACAGAAGCATTCAGGATAGTTAATGAGTGCAGGGAGAGGCAGGAACTAAGAACTGACTGAATCACGTATGTGCTTAACACACAAATTCAGGAGTTAAGAATTTATCCCAAGTATAATGAGGAGCCATTGAAGAGAATGGTCACACTTGTTCCATGATGAGGAATGCATTGAAGAAATGAAGGCTGTAAAAGCAAACTCCACTCAGTGAAGATGTGGTGGCTATGGAGAAAGATGACTGTGAGGGGAATTTAGGAGGCAGAATTACAGGACTTGAGGACAGATTATAATGAATGAAAGAGAAAAGAGTTTCCAGCTTCTCACGTTTCCGGCTTTGGTAACCACTGGGCAGTGCTGCCATATGTATGGGGCCTAACTGGCTGGGGTGGAAAAGATTCTGGTTTCAGCAAACATATTGGTCTGAGGTCTGTGACCCAGCAAAGGGGAGATGTCCAACAAGCAGTTTGGAATATGGACTAAAGATCAAGAGAGACATCCGAGGCTACAGGTAGTGAACCAGGAGTCCTCACCTACACAGACCATGGATGGATGGTTTAGTTTATCCTTGAAGAGACAATCTAGTCTAGAACCTTGAGGATGATCAATATTTAAGGAATGGGCAAAGGAATAAGAGTCTGCAAAGGTGGGTGCTAGAAGAGTTTGGGAAGCATGTTTCAACAAGAAGACTGTGGTAGACAATGCCCACTACTGCCCAGAGGTTAGGTAAGAATAGGAAAAGAAGTTTCTCTTGGTTTTAGGAACACAAAGGCCATTATTGACCTGGCCAGAGGAGTTTCGCTAAAGAGGCGGGAACAGAAAGCAGCTCACCACAGGCCAAAAAAAAAAAAATTTTTTTTTGAATGAGAGGAGAGGAAGTGACGACATCATGCATAACCCACTTATTCATGGACCGAGAAGGTAAAGAAAGAGGATTGTAGATGGAGAAGGCAGAAGACAGATTTTTTGGTTTGCTTTTGAGGCCACCAGGGAAATATCTGACCAATTCTGGGGAAGTACAATTCACTGAAAAACAGGATATGGGAATTTATGGTGCACATGTGGAAAACTTCACAGTCAAATACTTTCACTTTCTCTTACAACCAGTCCTGACTCTTTTTTTTTTTTTTTTTTAAAGATTTATTTATTTATTTATACAGCACTGGGTACAGTCAGAAACATGGGAGGGTGAGAGAATTCACCAGAGCCAGAGTGGGGAACAGAACAGGCAGACTGACAAAATACACTGCTAAGGGGAGCAGTGGGCGCGACAGGAGAGGTCTGTTGAGCCATGTGGGACCCTCCTGGTGGCTGGGGATCAAACCGGCGCTGCAGAGGCTGCGGGCAGCTTTGCAGCCCAGCGCTCAACCGATGCGCCACCAGGGGAGGCCCAGTCCTGACTCTTCAGGAAATCCTGCTCTTATCAAAAGCTTGTAGGCGAGAGTGTCTTTTAGAGAGTCCACTGCTGTCCTTGGGTCTGGATGCAGCGTGTGGGGACTGAGAAGGAGGTAGAGAGCAGAAGCTTTAGTTGAATGAATTCACTATGGGTGACAAAGCTTTGGGGGCCCACCAGGAACACAAGAGGGGCTTGACAGAGCTGGTTCCCAGTCAGAAAGCAATCGCCAAGGTGTGCTTGCTCTCTTTCTTGCTCTTTCCTCTCTAAACCCTCTCACAGGAAGATAGCGGGATGGTCTGAAAGTCCTGGTTCTCACAAACAACAACAAAACAACAGGGTTAAGGGAGAACTTCAAATTCATTTGATTCCTTATATTTGGATTGAATTCTGTAAACTGCCACTTATGTAGGTACAAAAAGGTAAAATACTGGTAATACTGGTAAATAGGAAAAAACCACGTTGCTATGCCTCTCAGAATGCAGGGCACACAGGGGAGAGAGGGTGTCTCTGAGGCCTCAGAGCTGGGAAGGCTGACCCAGCTGTGGAAAGCTGAGGCCTAAAGCCACTTGCCATGAGGAAGGGCAGGAAGGCCCATGGAGGTGTCTGTTAAGAGCATGAACTTAAGATTCGAGTCTGAGTGGAAAGCCTGTTTCTGGTGGGACTTATCATTTAGGCTTTCCCGCTTAGCTATCCTCACTTGTAAAATATGGAAAGAAGTCATAACCCCTCCAAGTGTACAGAGAAGATAACTGCCTGTACGAACTAGGCACTGCCATCTGAGAAGCCCTCCGCTGAACTGTCCCACAGGAAGACTGACCTAGCGGGCCTCCCCAGTGGCGCAGTGGTTGAGCGCTGCTGCCCGCAGCCTCTGCAGTGCCGGTTCAATCCCCGGCTGCCGGCGAGGGTCCCACATGGCGCGCAGACCTCTCCTGCCACCCGCTGCTCCCCTCAGCAGTGTACTTCGGTCCTTCTGCCTGTTCTGATCCCCACTCTGGCTCTGGTGAATTCTCTCTCCTGAGCTTCTGACTGTACCCAGTGCTTGTATAAATAAATAAATAAATCTTTAAAAAAAAAAGATTAACCTAGCACCTCAGTGCTCAAGCCCCAGTGGCTCACCATTATTACTGTCCCTATTTGTCCAAGTGAAAAGAAAAGCAGGTCACTTCTCATTCCCCCACCAAGTCTTACATATTCCTCTTTTGCACATAGCTCTTTCTCACTTTGACCACATCTATGGTCAAAATCCCTTGAAGGTCAAAGTTTTGTTTTATCCATCTGTGACATGGTCAGGCTGGGGTGGGCAGGTATGTGAAGTAGGGTAGGTGACGGATGGTTTATCTAAGAGGCACCAGCAGATTAACTCTAGACAGAGAGTTGTTCCGTGAAAGCATCTCATTGGATTTTTTGGTGGTGAAAAGTGAAGAAGGAGGGCAAGATCTACAAGGAGGAGGGAAACGTGGCGAGCCCAAATTATTTTGAATGAGAAAATGTGAGGCATCCCGAGAGTTGGATGGAGATGTGGATGTGCAGAGCTAGAGTCTTCAGATACATGCTGAACGTAGGATCAGCTTACTTTTTCACCACCTCAATTGGCATCCTTGGAACACATAGGGGATAGCCAAAACATCTGGATTTGAATTCCAGTATTATAATTTATAATTTATGAAATTGGGATATGTTTCATCATTCAAAGTCTGTTTTCCCCAACTGTAAAATGGGGATAATACTATCATCTGCTTTGTAATTTGCTGTGACTTTTTAAAACTCCATGTAAAGTGCTGAGAAGAATGCGTAACATGTAGAGCACACTCACTATGTGTTAGTTATTAGTCTCCTGGGTTCTTTTGATCTTGATTTTTACTGAGTAGAGATGTGAACTGTCCACTGGTACTCTAAAAAGAGGACCTATATCCACAATCAGAAACTCCTGCTCCCCTTCCCCTACCCCAAGTTCATATCTTCTGGAAGTTAGTTCCTGGACTGTATCATCCACATCACCTGGGAACTTGTTAGAAATGCCAATTCTTGGGCCCTGCCCCAGACCTCCTGAATGTCCAGGACACTTGGGTGCATATTCAAGATTGAGAAAAGTATTCTCCTCCTTCCAGGGAGGCATGCTAATCGTGTGGAGCTCCAGCATGCACCCTGCAGGACGGAGGCAACTTAAGGTCTTCCTTAACACTGCCATCTCAATGACATCCCCTCAATTAGCGAACGTGTCCCCAGAAATCATCTTACCAGCAGTCTTATGTGAAAGCGGCCATAGATCCATTTGGGTTGCCTTTCCTTTCAGCTTTTCTTTACTTACCTGTGGCCAGACCCAATGATTACCTCTCCCTGGTGCTCTCCCAGTTTCTGCTCCATCTCGCCTTCTGAGTAAGGGGATCTAGGGGGGTCTCTTATAAATATCTGCCAAGGATTCCTGACATGAAGGGCTTCTTGGACCCTGGTGGAGGCTCTGGTTTACCAGCCCTGCACATTTGTTGTGGCAGGACTCGAGCATTTTTCAGGGTCCAGAACATGGGTTTCACCATGACATTACAGAGCGGCTAAGCCTGCCTGTTAAACAGCAGCCAGGGCCTGGCGGGCAGTAATGAGGCTGGCTGGTCTCCAGCCATTGGCAAACACAATAGCACATTAAATGTCACTGAAGGCTTTGTTTGGTTTTAAATGGAAAGATTGCTGGAGTTGTGAAAGCTTACAAATCTTGCCTAGAGAGGAAAAAAAAAAATCCCCCTTTTTCTTTGTCTCTGCTTTTCCTTTACAGACCCGTACCAGGGAATGGCCGGTCTGCCCCCAGACCCTATCACAACTTATCCCCTTGACCTCACTCTCACACTGAACACCCAGCAGCCATGGAGCCCATGACCAAGAGTGTGTTTCCAGAACTCCTTTAGCTTTTGAGAAAGAATGTGCTGCCATTACTGATTCAAAGCAGATTTGACCTAGCTACAGACCACTGTTCACATTTTCCCAGGATGCTCTGCACTCCCTTTTTCTTCTCTTCTTAAAAGGAATGTTCATGCTTATTTGTGTACAAACATCCATCAGGGCAGAATCCTGGTTTGAGTCTTTAAACCAAAAGGGCATTCAAGGGCACTGGGTCTAGACTCTGCTCTCAAACTGATAAGCTGATAAGCTATTGTTCCCATCTTACGCATGGCACAAGCAGAGAGAAAGGAATTAGCCCATAGCTCTACCAAGAGTAGCATAGACCCAGGGCTCCTGCCTCCTTGCCTTCTTCTCTTGGCTATGTGGCCCTCTTCTGAGCTCAGACTCAGGAGGAGTGTTCTTATTCCCTCCTTCTTTTCCAGCTCTAGCCTGGGATAGAGTTTTCTCATATACATTTTCACCAATGTAGTTAATCCAAATGTATCATCAGTGTTTCTGTTCAGCCAACTCCCTTCTGCTAGCACGTTTCAGCCCTGGAGTTGGGACGCCCTGCTCTCCTTGCAAGTGTGAGCACGTGAGGGCCTGCGTGGGGAGATGGGGGGAGACCCAGCCCTGTTCCATTTGCTAACATTTAGGTCAGGAATAGGCAGGGTCTTGGATGTTTCATGAAATATTACTCTCATCCAACAGACTTGGAGGCAAATGACTTCTAAGATCAGGGCCATAGAGGACTTGAATTCTGAGGGTCTGAGACCTTGATTGCACCCCATTTGTCTCTACGTAGGTCTTTTGTTTTGTTTTGTTTAATCATAGGAGGAGATAAATACAGGTCAAACATAAATTTCCCTGCTTAATAAGTAGAACCCAGGGTGACCCGATAGGTAGAGAACGCTGTCTCCTCCACTCTGGACTCTCTGCTCCCTTCCCACTGTCAGATCTGCTCTAACTAGGAAGCTATGTGGGGTGGGGTGACACTGGCCACACAAGCTCTCTTGTGCCTCAGGCAAGAGACTTGATCCTTCTGACTCCCCTGTTTCCTCATCTGTGAAAACACAGGGCTCTTTAGGGATTAATTGCCAACAGATGTAGAGAAAACTGAGCTTCCTTTTACTTCATTCTCTATGCTATTAGTTCATTTCCCTACCCTTCCTCAATCAAAGGTATTTGCATCCTAAAGGGTGGGGAAGGCAGCCTCTATAATAATAATTTTACAAAGATAAATCTCTGATGGTTGACTTTTGGCCTCAGAACCAAGCCAAGAGGAGACTAAGCAATGTCACAGTAGGCAAGGACACCACAGGGGTTCCAGGAGCTCAAGGAGCAAAGAGGCAGAGCCCTCAGAGTCACAGGGGAAGCAGACAGAAATTTAATAGCTCCCACTGTCTTTGTCATGAACAGGGCCGGTTTATCACACAATTAGTATGCATTTCCTGAGCTCCTACTATGTGCTCTGTCCCCCCACTGATGCCAATCTCCTCATTTTCCCTTTGTCCTTCCCTCCTATCAAATCCCACCGACTCCCTGTCTCCTTCCTCCAGTTCCTTCCCAACCCTTCTATCAAATCTCAGTTGCCCCATGATGACCACATCTGAATAGAGGTCATGAAAAATGCTGTCTCTTGTGCTGTGCACAGGGCAGAGAAAGCACACCAGCTAGCATGGGATGACCCTGCCTCCACTACCTGAGAAAGACTGGCAGACACAGAGAGGTTATTCGGTTTGCCCTTTACCTTCCCATTAAAGGCATTTCCAGAGATTCTCTGGTGATGAAAGTATCAATGTGGAAGCTCCACAGCCTTCCTCACAGCCCTCTGGGGTAGAACAGATCATGCCCATGGATACTTTCCATTTCTAACCTAAACTCAGCAGCAGGCAAGTTTTACAGGGAGATCAGGCTTCCTTGCAGCCTTCCCTCAAGTGCCTCTTCCCTTCAGCCACTGCATGATCCTCAGTTTGGAAGAACATGGAGGGAAGGAACTATTTTTGTGAATGGAGAAAACTCATGTCCATATACTGTGCCTTCTGGCTCCTAGAAATCTATGCCAATAAATGCCAGAAAATGTCAGAAAAACCACACGTGGGGAAGTTTAAAGAATAACCGTGAGCACTTTGGCCTTGAACCTCTGCACCAGCCCTTGTCACTGTGCACATCTGATATAGAAGCCAAAGACATGTCCCCTCCTGAGAATGAAAGGAGGCCCCAGAATGCCAGAGCCCCAGTGGGTCCTAGCAAGGATCCACTGCAGCCCCCCATTAGCAACTGCCTGGTCTGACTTGCTCAACTTTGGGGAGGGGCAGTGAGGATCCTCTACTGGAAAATGTCCTTCCCTGGGAAAGGTGGATGGGCAATGCCTACACAGTCAAGTTCAAACTTCCCTGCCTGGCCCTGGAGGATAGTCCTCACCTTTTGCCATTCCTTGCCACACACTCCGTGCTCCAGCAGTACTGAAGTGCTCTCCGGTCCCTATGCCGTGCATTGCCTCAGTGCCTTTGTGCAGGCTGGCCTTGCACCACACACCTGTGCACACCTGGTAAGTTCTACCTATCAGTTATGATTCATCTCATTTATCACTGCCTTTAGAAGTCTGAACAGGGCTATGATTCAAAACATGGTGACCTCTAAAACCAAGCAGAGCTATAATCCAATCATTGTTCATTCTCCTGTCACTTTACCCCCCAAACCTTGGTTTCCTCATCGATAAAATAGGAGTAATGATACCAAACATCTAGGTTGTTACAAGAAGATGCAAGTGCTCAGTCTAGGCCCTTAGTACTCAAAGTCAATGGCCATTTTGACTGCCTCCTCTTGTCTCTCTTCTTTCCTTCCCTCCCAGACTGGGATGTGTTCCACTCTGTGTCTGCTTTTCTTAAATATCTACTGAAGTATAATTTACTCACAACAAAATGTACCCATTTTAAGCACATGCTTTGATGATTTTTTGAAAAATGTAGACACTTGTGCATACTTGTGCATATGGGACATTTCCATCACTTCTGCAGGTTTCCTTGAAGCCCATCTCAGTTAATCTTCACACCCCTATCACTAGACCCAGGCAGCCACTGATATCCTTCCATTGCTAAAGGTTACATTGCCTTTCTGAGAGCTTCACATAGATGGAATCATACAGAATATACATTGTGCTTCATGCACTCACCACAATGTGTTAAGATTCTTTTCATGCATCAGTAGTTGGTTCCTTATTGTTATGCTTTTAACTTTGTATTATAATTTATCTGATTCTTCTACTGGAATATAAGGCCCTCAAAGATTCTTTTTCTTCTTTGGTTCCCAAGTAGGAATTCAGCAATGTTAGCGTGAGAAGGGAGGGAGGCAGTGAAGGAATTATCATAGAGATTGGCTAAAAACTTGGCAATAACCTCGCATCCTGTCCACTCTGGGAGGCAGGACTCACATTCCCAGCAGAACCCCATCTAAAAGCACTTACAGCAGCCAGTCCACAGCCACCAGCAGGCTGATGTCCTCTGTCGGCAGGCCCACGGCTGTCAGAATGAGGAGCATGGTGACCAGTCCAGCGCTGGGGATACTGGCTGCACCAACACTCGCCAGCGTGGCCGTGAGGCTGTGAGAACAGACAAGGCCAGGTCATGGGAAGAGAAAGAGAACTTGGTAAAACCTTTCCAGTCAATTTTAAGCTCGAATTTTCCCAACAGTCATAAAATCCCTGTTCCCTTCCAAGGACTAGAGAAATCTAGAGTACCAAGACCCAGGAATTAGGGTCTACTTGGCTTTTGCTCAGTTGTGATAGAAGCTTATAAATTCATGGATTGGAGCCTTTTCAATCATGATATACAGTGAGCTCCTACATCACAGGGTTCAAATAAAGTAAGCATGGCTCTAAGAGTAGGCAAGGGATATTAAGGAAGAAAAACAAGTCACCCTTAATTCTCCCATGACACCAGCACTGCATTCATTTCTGCTTTTATTTTTTACATCTCTGTGAGCACCAGAGATGTTCTAACTATGCAGCGAGTCTGAGGAGGTCACTGCCAGTGTTAACATGAGGGCTCAGAATAACAAATATCCAGACCCACTTGACTGAACATCGGGGGAACAAATCAACAGAATCCAAATGACATTTAGTTTCAGACGTCTGGATGTTTCACCCTGGGCTGAAAAATACATTATTCAGAAAAAAAGGGTTGCCAAGAAATGATAATGAAATAGCAGAAGACTCTCGCTCTGAAGCATTTCATCATTTTCTTTCCAAACGATGCCAAGGGCACATCCAGAACTACTGTGAAGTTGTCACCGGGAGAGAGATGGCTTAGGGTCCAAGTGTCCTGTCTATCACAGAATTCTATGGCCAGGAAAGGGTAATGATTTTTTCCCCTTTTCTGGATTCCATTTACAAAAGCTGTCATTTCTAAATGAAGGACACATTGCAGTTCAAGAATTCTATAGCTTCTGGAGTACATTTTCAGACTCCCAAACTGGCTTAGCCAAATCCAGATCATTGGTGTAACCAAGCCTAGAATCCTGGGGTCTTCAATTGGGAGGGACCTAAATTACCTAATCCCACATATGAGGGAATGAAGATCCTGGGAGTTTTGTGGTTTACACTGTTTTTATCCCTTCCTACCATCCTGCCCAGATTTAGTCCTGCCACCACATGGGCACCTCCCCTGGGTATAATATACAGAACACATCTCAACTCTTTCCTTGGGTAGAGTTGAATGCCAGGGAGTTGGTGTCAGGGTTTAGAGAACTCCACTTTCTTTGGGTCTCTCTGGGTCATAAGAGGTAGTGGTGTCTGGTGGTTATCCGTCAAGTTTCTGGAAGTGACCGACCTGGGTTCAAATCTTAGCTCTGCTACTTCTTAAACACATAAGATGGGGCAACTTACTCAATTGACCTCGTTGTGCCTTGATTTATTGATCAGTAAAAATGAAAAAAATAATGGTGTCTCACTCAGAAGCCATTAGGAGTTAATAAACAAACACTTAGAAGAGGCCGGCATATTGTCATTCCCCCAATAAATGTGAATTGTCATTCTCTTGAAATCTGCTCAGCGTGAGGCCGCTTTGCAATGAAAACTTCCCTACAGCCCTGAGAGCTGGAAGGTGGGAATTCTCAGCTATTTCCCCGAGCTGGCTAGGGAAGGGAATTTCCCAAGGTCCAACGATCTTGGCCTTGACCGTTTTATTTACAACATCATTTGCTTCTGTTATGAGTCATTCTCACACATCTTTTTGTACTGAGACCATGTTGCCTGGTTAACCCTTGGTTGTAAGAAACAAAACTCTATAAAAAGAATGTTTCCTGACAGATAAGTCCCCCTTTTTCCTCGATCCCAATAAAATCCCAGACTACCGTGGGTACAGTGTCTGTGGATTTCTAAATCCTGCCACAGTTCCCTGGACAGCGATCTTCTCTCTGTCCCTTTATGACTTTCTACTATTCCTGTCTTTCTACTCCCAAGCTCACTTCTCTAAGGATGTTTGTTGGATGCTGTGCTGGATACCACACAGCTCATGAGAACAGCAGAAACTCACAGAACCCTCCAAGGTGCTTATAGTAGCTTCCTGCTATACCCAAGAGGAGACTATGGAGTGAAGGGGCAGGGAAAATTAGGGGCACCCAACTTGAACATGATCTGCTAGGATCTGAACACTTGTCTGCTTGATTCCAGTGCCATGTTGGCTTCTAGTGCCCCTTGATCCTGATGCCTCTTGAAAACTCCATCACTTGGTCACTGGCCCATCTCCATGTTCTCCTCTAATACATGACCTTGATGGGAAATGTCATTGCCATCAAGGCTAAGAATTCAGGGACCAAAAGTCATCTTTGTCTGACAAGGAGCTTCCTTAATGGGCCTCCCCAGTGGCTCAGAGTTTGAGCGCTGGGTTGTGAAGCTGCCCGCAGCCTCTGCAGCTCCAGTTCGCTCCCCGGCCACTGGGTGAGGGTCCCACATGGCGCGCAGACCTCTCCTGCTGCTCCCCTCAGCAGTGTACTGCCTTAGTCTGCCTGTTCTGTTCCCCACTCTGGCTCTGGTGAATTCTCTCACCCTCCCGTGCTTCTGACTGTATCCAGTGCTTGTCTAAATAAATAAATAAATCTTTAAAAAAAAAAAGAAGCCCTGTTCCTCTTTGTACTTTAAGCAAGGGAGGCTGGCAGCCTCACATGCAGTCTATTAGGACACGATTTAGAGGCTGTATAATCTGACCCCAGCGTGTTTTCCACTGATAACATCATGGTACTCATTATATCACGGTCACATTGTTCTTTCATATTCAAGGAACACTGTAAACTTTATTGACCATCAATAACAGTAATAACAGTAGTAGCTAACATTTGTTGACAAGTGACTGTACCAGGCACAGTGCCCCCCAAGTCCCCAGGATGTGTGATTACTGTCCTTATTATACAGATGAGGGAACAGGGCCTCCTCTACAATACTGCTAAGGACTGAGGTCTTTCCCCCAAAATTCATTTGCTGAATCTCTAATTTCCAATGTGATGGCACTGGACATAAGGCTTGGGAAATAATTAGGTCTTGAGGGGAGAGTTCTTATGATGGAATTAGTCGTCTTACAAAAGGAGACTTAAGTGCATATATTCTCTCTCTCTCTCTCTCCATACACTAAGAAAAGTCTGTGTCAGATAACAGAGAGAAGAATGTCATGGGCAAGCCAGCAAGAGGGCATTCACCAGTAGCAGAATCTATGAGCAACTTGATCCTGGACATCCCAACCTCCAGAACTGTGAGAAGTAATTGTTTTTTGAGCTCCCTAGTCCATAATATTTTGTTATAGTTATCTGAGCTGACCGAGACACCTCCTAGGTGTTGTGAGGACTTGATAAATTTAATATATACTAGCAGGTATGATTCTGTTATGTAATGGAAAAGCAATGTGTTTCTCTTGGGGAATATTTTTTATGAAATTTTTAAATGATGAATACTTACAAAAAATTAGCTTTAGTAAAAACAAAAAAATATTTGCTATTTACTTGTACTGAAATGATCTATGTTATATTGAGGAATCTCTTCCTTCCAGTGCTTCATCATTTCTGCCTACACACTCTGGAATGCTGAAATGAACATGTTTTAAGGACAGAAAAACTGGATCAGCTGATGTCAGCCCCAGTTTCAGTCCTGTTGGCTCATTACTAAGTGTTATCTTGGAAACGCCACCTTGCCTTTTGAAGTCTTTCCTTCCCCATCTATTAAATGGGCATAGAATTAGCAGCCATGCAACACCACAGATTTGTTAAAAACCAAATAACATTAACGCTCCAAAGCAATTCCATGTGTACAATACAAACAGAAGGCATTAGTATGATCCTGCTTCTCTCCTGTCACGATCTTTTCCCTTTGAATCTGCCAATAAGTTCTTTGCTGTTATTTTCTTCATCAGTGTATAAGGAGACCTGAAATTCAAGTGGCTCCTGTGAAATGGAGTTAGTGTGGAAGGGGACAGAGTAAAAGACTATTTCGGTGCTTCATCCCACCACCTTCACTCACCTCACAGTCACAATCTGGCCTCCATCCAGGACAACACCATTCATTTGGGCAATAAAGATGGCGGCCACTGCTTCATAAAGGGCTGTACCATCCATGTTAATGGTTGCTCCAACTGGGAGGACAAATCTGGTCACACGCTTATCAATCCCAAGATTTTCTTCTAGGCAACGGAAGGTGACAGGCAAAGTTCCAGCACTAAAGAGAGGGAGAAAGACAAAGAGGAGAGAAGAGTTATGTCCACTTTACAGAAGCAGGGCAAAACACAACCTGGAATAGCACCACAAAGTTTTGTTCCAGTCAAGCATGTGATGTGCAAAAAAGCAGCATGTGGAGCCAACTTAAAACCCAGTGACTTGGAGGCTCAATTTCCATCTTATTAAGATGCTAAAAGGGAGCAAAATATACTGGGTTGGTTCTGGTATTTGAAATCTACTCAGAATCTCAAGTATTCTTTATTTTTCTTCCAGCCACTGTTTCCACCTTGGATTGAATATTGAAGTCCATTGATTGCCCTTATTAACTGGGTTATAAAAAAATTGTCAGAAAAGAATCAGCTGTCAACAGTGAAAGAGAATGAGAAATTTTTGAATGACCCTTAAGTTCATGCCAGAAACACTCCTTCCTGCAAGATGATTACGTGGTTTTCATCCAGCCCCTGAGAATTGCCAAACTGAGCCTGCTAGTTTTGAGGCTGCTGGACAAATATGTTAAGCACCACTCAGCCTCAACCCAAGCTTGTAGCAATTCATTGGGGACCCTCACAGTATAGTCATCAGCCAACTCTCCAGTCTCTGCAACAACACAGGGCAGAAAAACATGCGCTCTGTTGTTCATCAAAAACTCAACAGGGAGTGACTTCACCCCCAACTCCTCCCAGACATGGGATGGGAGTTCTTGACCACATGATCCAACTTCAAAAGCCAGAATGCTAACATATTCATGTGTCATCTAAAATAGGAGGTCTATAAAGACAAGGGTGGCTGAAGACCAGAATATTATTTCCATATGGATTGAGGTGCATGCGAGGGGAGGTAGATTTGCTTCAAAGTCTGAATAATTGGGAAAGCAATGCAGAACCTGCAGACTGCCAACGACTGCATAGTGGTCTGTTCTTTTCTTTTTTTCAAACCTTAGAAAAGTGAATCAGAACCCTCCAGTGCAGACAGCACATTTTCTCTCTTATACTTACAGACTTTGCTATATTGTTCCCTCTTTCTACCAGTCAGAATCAGGACTCTAAGGTGGACATAGACAACTGAAGAGGTCTTGGTTTCTCAGTTAGTGGGAGAAGACCACCAGTTTCAGGGACTCTACCTGAAATTCATACTCCAGGGCCTACTCAGACTCCAGGAACCACGAGTTCTAAAATTAGGGTCACTTCAATATGCATCATATCAAACTACAAACCTACAAGATCCTAATAACCACCTTAGGAAACCAGAGTCCTTATAAGAATATTATTTGTGATTTTGAGTCAGTGGTCTGCCTCATGCTCCCTCCTTGGTCTTAGGTAGGGAGAAGAAATTAGAGACCTCTCATTACTAAAACCTTAAAAACCCAGGGTGAAAAGTTGCGGCCTATGGGCCTCCCCGTTGGCACAGCGGTTGAGCGCTGGGTTGCGAAGCTGCCCGCGGCCTCTGCGGCACCAGTTCGATCCCCGGCTACTCCGTGGCCACCGGAGGAGGGTCCCACATGGCGCGCAGACCTCTCCTGCCGCCCGCTGCTCCCCTCAGCAGTGTACTTCGGTCCTTCTGCCTGCTCTGCTCCCCGCTCTGGCTCTGGTGAATTCTCCCACCCTCCCGTGCTTCTGACTGTACCCAGTGCATGTATAAACAAAAAACAAACAAACAAACAAATAAATAAATAAAAGCATGCCTCTATAAAAAAAAAAAAAAAAAAAAAAAAAAAAGAAAAGTTGCGGCCTAGCTATATTCACATGAGCCATCATACTTGGCTTGCTGCCCCAGCTGATTTAATGAGAAATTAACACCTCTTGATTCCTCTCACCCCACACCTACCCCCCCCCTCCTGGGGTCTCTCTGAAGGGCGGCCAGGGCACCATGATTGGGCTGAAATAGCTGCTCAGCTATGAGAGGTGCTTGGAATTCTCAATGGTATGACTCGAAGGACACTTCTGGGAAGACTGGACTATGTTCATTGTTATCATTGAATTTATTTTCCCAAATGCCATCAAAGGGTCTTTAGATAATTAAATAGCTGGAGGAACATAATTGGTAAAGCATGAAAATGAACTCAGTCTCTGCTGGACAGATTTTTCATCCTAAAGGTCTATAGAGAGCCAATCAACCCAGACTGGGACTTGAGACATATTAACTCTTGCCTGTGTGGCCAAGCAGACATTCTGACATTGTTGTTGGTTTCCTGTTGTTCCTTTTTTTTTTTTTAATTTTTTTTTTTTTTTTGGCTCCTGCCTCCGCTACAGTCTTCAAATGTTGCAATGTTGCAATAATAACTATCAGGTACTTGAGATTCTTCTTTTTGTGCTGGATTATTTTTAACAGCATTCACTGAGTTAGAGGATGCAAAGAGGATGTCCCAGGCTGGTCCCCCTCAACCTGTCCTCCCTGACACCAGTCCTTTGTCCAGGGAGAAAGTCAGGTCAACCCTCCTTCACCTCCCCATTTTGCCCAAGGCCCAAGGGGTGGATATTTAGTTGGCTGTCTTTGGACTCGGAGTTTTTTTTTCTTATAGTCATAACAGCAAAGAAATCCTGAGCTAATTTTTAGTGTGTGACTCCTGCCACACTGAATTTTCAAAAAAGAAATTCCACAACCAGGCAAAAGCCATATTTTAACCAAAGATTAAAGACACTTTTTTTTTTTTTTTCAAATGAAATACAGTACAAGGGGGCAGAAATCAATCTAACATTTGTGGCCTTGTTCAGAAAGCCCAAACATTTGTCTTTGATTTATATACAAATTTTGACCATCCATATGCCTTTAAGATATACCTTGTCTTGTTACTGGGATGATTTGTGTAGTCATTCAAAAAAAAAAAGATATTTTAAAAAATAGTGTAAAGATCAAACCACAAGGTACTACTTCATCATCCTTGATGGTGAAAATGTCTTGTGCAAACTTGAAATTCTAAATACTAAAGAAATATACTGACAGCTTCAACTACATACACGTTAAGAACTCTCAGTGGCAAAAAGCACTTTTTAAGACAAATGTCAAGTAGAAAGGGACATTATTTACAGTAAGTGACATGAGTTAATATTTTTATACATATTGAATATTTTTATAATATTTTTATACACATTGAAAACCAATCAGGAAAGGATGAATGCCCCACCAGGAAGGTAAGATCACAAACCAGTCATAGGGTGCAGGAAGAGGGAGAAAGACAGTCAAGATTGTAAAGAGAGGTTTCCCTCACTAGCAATCAAAGAAACACAGATTCAATGAGGTCATTTTTCACCAATCACTGGAAAGTATAAAAATGACTGACAGCGTCCAGGGCCAGCAAGCAGCACACTCTCACACTGCATTAGTGGGGACACAAGCCATGTGCTTTGCTGAATAGCAATGAAAACATCTGACGTTTTCAAATCGCCAATGCGCTTATCACGGCACTCAGAAAAACCACTTCTAGAAATGTACCCTCATCACACAGCCCTGCGGATGGGTTTTTACAAGAAAGGGTTCTCAGCGCCACCTAAGACATGCTTTAAATGCATAGCATGGTGGTGGGGTGGATGTATTGGAATGTACACAGCATGCTATTGTGCTGTTTAAAAACTGGTGGCAGAGATCTGTATTAAAATATATCACTTCCATGCTATGATGACCTATACAAATTAACCATTTATAATAGGAGTAGGACTAGGAGGGGACAGCTGTCTGACTGGAAGGATTAACTAAGAGGTGACTGTCAATGATCACCGGGTAATGTTCATGTTCTCCTTCAAAATTATATTCACTTTTGGAAATTTTTCAGAATGAGCAAATACCACACTCATATGCAAAACCAAAAATGAAACAAAACATGGTTGTTTCATCTATTGTGTTTCTTTTTTTGTTTTTCTTCGCTTAGCCTAAAATGATATTATAAGAATTTTTTTTCCAATACAGCTTTGATATCTCATAGGCATCTAAGACACTGGAATTAGGTAATAAAGAAGAAACCAACTCTCAGTCAATATTAAGTAAAAGCAACATCAGCCTGTTTTTCTCAAAATCAATGGGGCAGAATGGTCCATGAGAGGCTCCAACAGAGGTCAAAGGCTGGACTGAGTTCTAATCTCTTTAATGTACCATATCCCTGTAAAACTTCACTCTCCTACTTTTGAAAAATTGCTCCAATAGAGTGGTATTTTGCAATGCCATTTTTGAAATCACATGTGGGAGAATTTCTTAAGGAGAATAACATTTTCCTTTCAGAAAACATATAAAACTAAACTAATGTTCTATGTGGCAAATTAGGTGTGCAGATGAATCGTGTGCATTCATCTGGGAAATTTAATATAAACTTGTAAGTCCAATACTGTTGCCTACAGCAAAAGTTTCATAGGAAAGGTCAGAAGTTCCTAGAAGGAATAAAAAATACAAAGCATTCACCTCTTCCCACAACATACAGGTTAAAAATTCTCTCATTGAATCTTGTGATGGGAGTGTTTGGAAGGGGAAATAACCAACCACAAAGGAAGTGGCAAAGAGGGTAAAGGAGTGAGCAGAGAGAAAGAGAGGTGATTTCTTGTGTTCTCTACCTGGAAGCGGTACCCAGGGCAGTGATCCAAGCTTGGAAAATGCCAGCAAAAAAGGAGAAAGGGTTTTTCCTGGTCACTACAAAGTAAATCAAGGGGAGGAAGATGCCCCCATGGATGATGAGGCCCACAATCACCGTGATCATGTACATCCCCAGTTGCCTAGCAACCACTTCTAAGTCTTTGATTGCAATGATCTTCCCACAAATTAGGCAGGCGATACCCAGGGGAGAGTACCTGAAAAACATAAAAGAAAAAAAAGCATTGATGAGATGATTATAGAATTTAGAACTCAAATCCAGGCTCTCCAATGCAGCACACCCCAAGGAAAGCTCTTCACATCTCTGTACAAAGATATTTGCTGAAAGAGCACCCTGAGATTCAATAGATGCTCTATTTCACTTCAGACTAACTGCATGATCTAAAGTCTCCTCTATGGATCTGGCGGCCCCTGGTCTGACGAAAAAATCCAAAGGCAAACTTTGTTGCTAAGGCAACTTTTAGGAATAGCAGAGACAAGCTTTGCCTTCTCTTAGCTAAGCAGCAAGTGAGAGACAAACTGGTTATATCTTTGAGAATGTTGCTTGAAATCTTTGTTCCTTGAAATTAGGGGAAAAATTTGCGTTTCTCAGAAAGCTCATTAGACTTTTTAGACTTTTTCCCAGCTGTAAATTGGTGCTGGTAAATTTGATTTGGTTTTGCCTTGAAGGAAATATATTAAAATAATGAGAGAGCTTGAGAAATCAAGGAGTGGGGTGAGGATAACTGAGGGAGGAATAAAAGGAGGGAGAAAAAGAGAACGAGATTTCCCAAAACAAGAAAACCATCTGACTCAAGAGTCCATTTGGAGAAATGAGGTTTTGTTACTCTGAGTCTGAAGATATTTCTTTCCACACTCACTCTAACAATAATGCTGGCCACCCTTCACTGCATTTCAAGCAATATGGTGAGAGCAACACATGCATGGCCTCATTTAATTCTTACCACAACCCTAACATCTAGGTATCATGTTGGCAAATGAGGAAATTGAGGTTCAGAAAAGTGAAATAACTAGCCCAAGAGCATGAAACCAAAATGTAGGAGGAGAAATCCCTCAGGTCTGTGAAACTCCACAACTGGGATTTTTTTCCCCTACAAAGCCAAACCACTTCCCTTTAATGAGTAGTTGTAGCTCTTTGTAGATAAACAGTTAATTTGCCATCTACTACTGTCTTCACTCTTGAGTAAACTGACCATGTTCTCACTCATCTTGGGTGTATTTTTGCCCATTGGGTAACATCCTTATTTGTTGCCCAACCTGGTGGTTGTTGGTACATGAACTTGTTCAGCCTGTGACACTTTCTGATTGAAATGAAAATGTTTATGGGAAGTTGATACCTTACTAAGAATTAAGAAGATAGTTGAGAGAAAGATTGTGAGGTAAACAAAATCCCAGGGTGAGGCGCCTAGCTGGAGGAAATGGAGCTGGGTAAAGCAAAGAGACAGATGTGGTTGTTTTGCGGTTATACCTGGAGCAAGCCCTCCTGGATAACAAAAAGTTGTGAGGAGTAGATGAGTCTTATACATAATTCTGGAATTAGTCACTTCCCAGCTGCATGACACTGGTTAGTGATTTATTCCCACTTCACAGACATGCAAGTAGAGGCTTAGAGAGACCAACTCCAGCTGACCTTGGGGGGGTGGTGGCTGAGAGGGTCACATTTTGAATATGCATAAGTATGCAGTGTCAGGCCCTACAGGCCTGTCAGCGCATTTAGTTCTCTGACTCCTGTTGAAGGGAGCCCTGTATGTTCTGTTGTCGCATGGACCCCTTGCTGCCATCACCCATGCATCATGAGTCTAGTCTGAGTTAATGAGGCTTCCAAAACGCCTCACAGGCTATGCTACCCAACTGTGGATATTTTTATGAGCAAAATATTTTCTCAAGAAGAAATTTCTACTGAAAAAGAACTGATTTGTAACTGACACTAATTAGTTAAAACATTAGCATAGCTGTCTCTTCCCTGGGGAACATCTAGCCTATGACTCCACTTCTTCTTTCCCTGGGGGGAGGGCTGAACATTTGGGGACTGTTCCCCAGGCATTAGGGAGTCACGTCATTAAGCCCTTGGTTTTCCTGACATTTTACATTCTCCTGGTGTGCCTTGTCACATCTCATAGATCAGTGAACAATCTCAAGGGTGGGATCTTTGTACACTAGCATTGTAAATGACTGAGCAGAAGGCATCTTCTGATAAAATTAGCAAGCATTTATCTTCCTAAACCAAGCAATCAGTTCTTTCCCACACACCAATCACCATTTAAAGATGTCCAGAAAAACAAATATGAGCTGTTTGGGGTGTCAATCAATTTTCCCTTTCTTCTGGGTCAAGTAATGTGTGGAATGGAGAGAAAGTGTTTTCAAGACTCTTTGCCAAGGAAGCCTATGTATTGAGTCCCCCCAGGACTCAACAATTTGAGCATTAAGCCTAAATCTAACTTGAGCCCTAATCTTAACCCTACCTCCAAATCGCTAAGCTTACTGGAAAAAATATGAGCTTCACTGTAAATGGAAAGTATTATTCAAAAGCCAAAAGGTAAAGTTTGAGACTAAACAAAGATGGCAGATGGGGCCCTAGTCAACCCAAACACTTTGTGCTCCAGGATTAGGGTGAACATTAATTAGGAAAAAAAAGACTTTTTGTTCTATGATATCTTTAGGCTCATTACTTCATGTGCTACTGGAGTGTCTGAGTCACTGGGTTTCCATTAATGAATAATTTCACTGGAAATGACAGACCATAGAAAAGAAAAAGGCAAATGTCAGGGATCCAAGGTTACCACTCAAAGCTTCTGACAACTTCCAATCGAAAGCATAATCCAGAGTGCATAAACAGGCTGAGAGTTTCAGGGAGTGTTCTGAAGCCAAATGATGTCCAGAAACTTGTTGGACTAGATTCTAAATTAGAAGGAAATGATAAAGAATGAAAGGGAAGATATGGCTTCCATGCTGCCCATAGACTGATGTGTCCTCAGCTCTGGACACATTTTCAAAGTCACTGATTCAGCCAAGACTGGTCTATTAAGTCTTTTTCTGAATGTTGCATCCTCCATTCTTGCCTTTGCCCACTTGGTCCCTCAGTCTTCATCAGCCTAAGATTCCCACGAAGATACTATTTCCATGTCTTTTCTTTGCTTCACAAATGCAAACTTTGACAAAGAACTTAACATACCCAGAACTCAGTCAATATCTCTGCATTCATAGACACATGCCTAAGAATCACCTATCTGGTCACAATGAGGATTCCCTGAACTCATCACATATCTATGGAACTAGAATTTCCTGGGTGTAGTCTTGGGGCTTTTATATTGTACACAAGTTCCCCTGGTATTCTGATAGTTTTGGAATCCTGAGTTTCAAGGAACAAAACCTGATGTACAACTGAGGAAATGCACAAGTTACTTGATCAGCTTTGGCCATTTAAAACATTTACCTTAATAGCAATTTTTTCAAGGCCTTGGGTCTTAACCTACAAGAGCAATTAATTTGGAATTTTCAGGCACAGGATTGATGATGTGACAAATGCTTAGAGTGCAGATAAGTGGAGAGACCTTCTCAGTCCTGCCATAAATTTACTCTGGTTCTGTTCCAACAGCAATGCCAAGCTGTCATTTGGGAGGGATGCCCAGAGAATTCAGAATTAGAGGAACATGTCTATAAAGAGTTAAACACACACATCCCAAGAGCGGGTGTCAGGCCAGGAACTAACACAAATCTCCATGTTCCCCATTTTACTTAGAGAGGGGTTTTCTGGCTATCCAGGGAGTGATGTATATATACCAAGTGTTGTCATATATGGATTAGAAATTTTCATCAGAATAGAATTAACAGCAGTTCAAAGAGTTTCCCTTGTTCCAGGAGCTTCCCTTCACGAGTAAATAAAAACCCAACTTAGAGTGGCCAACAGGATCTTCCTTGTCCACTTCTCCAACCTCATCATCTTTCACCCCCCTTTCACCAATCAACCACACTCCAGCCACCCCACCTTCCTTATGACTCTCAAAACCCATCAGCAATACTTTCCTCCCCCTTGGGAAACACTCCTTTCTTCACTGAGTAGGCTCCTGCTCCTTCAGGTCTTTGTCAAAGGTCACTTCCCAGGTAGCCTCCCCTGGCCTCTTCTGTTGAAGTTTTTGGCTTCCCCCCATGCCCACATCACTCTATCCCACATCCCTGCTTTTGGATTCTGTAGCACTGGCTACTCTTTGTATTCTTATTTGCTTCCTTTTATTTTTTTCTCTCTCTCTCCTTTCACTAGAATACAAACTCTGTAAGGGCAGCAATCTTTCCATGTTTTATTCACCATTATATCACCAGCACCTAAAATTGTTATAGAGGGCCTCCCTGGTGGTGCAAGGGGTTAAGACGTAACCAATGAAGCTATCCACAGCCACTGTAGCATGAGTTCGATCCCCGGCCAGGGAGCAACCCACATGGCACAGCAGACCTCTCCTGACTTGCACGCTGCTCCCCTCAGCAGTGTATTTCAGTCAGTCTGCCTGTTCTGTTCCCCACTCTGTCTCTGGTGAACCCTCTCACCCCCCATGCCTCTAGCCTGTACCCCAGCTCTTGTATGCATAAATAATAAAGATTAAATAAACCTTTAAAAAAATAAAATTGTTATTGACACAGAAGTGGTGCTCAAAAAACATATACGGAGTGAAAGGAAGGATGGATGGAATGATGGGTGGATGGAAGGGTAGATGGATGAATCACAGTGGGTGGGTTAACGGAGAGATAATTGGAAGACTAGGAAAATATTTCTCTTCTCACTTTATGTTTCTATAGTGGTGAGATTATAAAATTTTTCCTTTTTTGCAAGTTTTTCAGATTAAAAATTTAGTACTTTGCAAAGGAAAGAAGATATGGAAATCACACTGAAATTAAGGTTCTTTCTTTTTCTTTTCTTCTCTTTCTGCTCATCTTTTGGTGAATCAGAGGACAATGCAGGCTTCGTAAAGGATTCATAAGCACGGTTTACAAAGGATATGGACTGAACTGATTATAATAATGGTAATCACAAATAATAATCCTGTGTGCTTCATTCCTAGCACACAGCAAATATTCCATGACTGTCATTCACAATTTTACTTAATTCTTACAGCAGCCCTAGGATGCCTGGATTCCATAGTTAATTCACTTGACAAATCGGGACATTTGGGTTTAGAGTGTATTAACTTGCCTAAATTTTCACAGTTGATAACAGGAAGATCCTAGATTCAATTCAGAATCAGTAGAAGTTGATTTGAACCCTCTTTCCCTAAAACTATTACTGCAGCAACGCTAGACAAGCTAAGATTGGGCTTAGTTTTCTCATCTAGAAAATGGAGATAACAAAGTCCCTATTTTTGTGAGCTACTGTAAAGAAAAAATGAGTTAATGCACGTAAAATACTTGGAATAGGGCCTCCCCGGTGGTGCAGCAGTTGAGCGCTGGGTTGCGAAGCTGCCCGCAGCCTCTGCGGTGCTGGTTCGATCCCCGGCTGCTCCCCGGCCACCGGAGGAGGGTCCCACATGGCGCGCAGACCTCTCCTGCCGCCCGCTGCTCCCCTCAGCAGTGTACTTGGTCAGTCTGCCTGCTCTGCTCCCCGCTCTGGCTCTGGTGAATTCTCTCACCCTCCCGCGCTTCTGACTGTACCCAGTGCATGTATAAACAAAACAAACAAACAAATAAATAAATAAATAAAATGCCTCTATTAAAAAAAAATAAAATAAAATACTTGGAATAGTATTAAGCACATGGGAGGATTTTGGTAAATCTTATGATTTAATGAGAATTAAAATAATAATTATAAAATGTACAGTATAGAATAATAAAATGTACAGTATAGAAACTGAAATGGTAATGAGCATAAAGCAAGAATTTAAGGGGGCCTCCCTGTTGGTGCAGTGGGTTGAGCGCAGTGCTGTGAAGCTGTCTGCAGACTTTGCAGCGTGGGTTCGATTCCTGGCCGGCCAGGGAGATTCCCACATGGGGTGGCAGACCTCTCCTGTCTCACCTGATGCTCCCCTCAGCAGTGCTTTCAGTCCATCTGCCTGTTCTGTTCCCCGTTCTGTCTCTGGTGAATCTTCTCACCCTCCCACGCCTCTGGCTGTACCCCAGATCTTGTATAAAAATAAATAAATCTTTTAAAATAAGAATTTAATAATTCTTCAGTTATATTTTAATAACAATTATTAAAGTAATAATAACCTCAATGTTTTGTTTTGCTATTGTTGCTGTTTTTACTATCACAGAGAGAAGAATCCAAAAAAACTAATTATGATAGTTAAGCTTCGTGGGGTCAGTAAAGAGTGCTTGGCTGTTTTATCCAGAGAATATTCTGGATAAAACATCATGAAATGTTAATGCTGACAAAGCAGCCAAAGAATGAAGGAAACGTGTAGTCTTGGTCTCTCGTGTCTCTAATACCCTTCTGGCTGTTTCTCTCCATGAGGCAACTGAACTGCTCTCAGAAGCCATCCCATAGATCTTATTCCTGACTCAAAATTGCTCTTCATCTCCTGGGATACAGTGTTAAATCTTTAGGAATTTTGGTTTCAGTGAAGCGGGAACTTTTGATTCACACCACCCTCCATCCCCGGGGAGATGGGAGGCTACTCTTCTAGCCTATAATTCATCTAATTCTACATGATTTCCTTTCTTTCAAAGGTGCAGTGGAAATGACATTGGTATGAATGAAGGAATGAATTTTTATACATTACTCATATTATTGGCTTCATTATACAGAAATATGAATTGCACATTTAGAACAAGGATGGTCACTCTGTTAGAAATTCTAGGAAACAAAAGCAGGTCCTAATATTTAGTAGAAAAAGGCCTGTTCTGCTTTATGTATTATTATGTATTAAACACACAGTAGGCTCAGAATGGATCTAAAAGGCTTTAAATTTTTTTTACACCATGACCTTGAGTTTACTTTAAATCTTCATGCAAAACACATATTAAGAAATCCAGTGTTGTCTGGGAATGAAGAACCAGTACAATAATCAAAAAGACACATTACTGTACTTGCATTTTGTATTTTAAAAGTACAATAAGGGGCCTCCCAGGTGGCGTGAGGGGTTAAGACAAAACCTATGAAGATATCCTCAGCCACTGCAGCACGAGTCCGACCCCCAGCCAGGGAGGAGACACACATGGCGTAGAAGTCCTCTCCTGCTTTGCGCACTGCTCCCCTCAGCAGTGTATTTCAGTAGATCCACCTGTTCTGCTCCCCACTCTGTCTCTGGTGAATCCTCTCACCCCCTGCACCTCTGGCCTGTACCCCAGGTCTTGTATGTATAAATAAATCTTATAAAAAATTAAAAGTATAATAAGCCAGGATGCAAACAAGCCAGTCCATTAAGAGGAACGTTTTCCTCATCGAGACCCTGGACCCTTCAGCTAGTTCACTCATTCCTGAAGTCTTAGTGAGAATCGACAACAGTCACATCACCATGTTTGTCTTTAGAGATATGAAAAATATGTCAAGAGTGGATTTTCGCCCTTCTAATGTGGGGGTGGGGCCCAGGGGAGGAAGAGAGAAGGTGGAAACCACTGGAAGGCACTACACAGATGTGGAAGAGGATCCAAGAAGGATTCAGGGAGAAAGTGCGGAGGACAGACGCATGCAGAGACAGAGAACTTGTGCCCCAGAAGAGCTCTGACAAAATGAACACAGATGAGGTTTGGTCTAATAAAGGTAGGCACACATGACCATCATGGGGGTCCAACAAATACATGTTCTGATTATAGGTACTGGATACTAAAAGGTTCTGGACTGAAGGTGGTTGAGCTTCCTTGATGGAATCATCCTTCACTCATGTTCTCCTGGATTTCAGAACCACTGACCTTAAACACACACGAAATGCAGAGGAGACATTGCCTAGATGATTCAAGTAAAAAAGCCCACCCACTAATGCATCAAGAATTTTTATGTCAATAGGAACTTCAGCTCTCCCTCTCTCTAGCTTTGTCATCTTAGGTAAGTTGATTCACCTCAGTGAGCTTTCATTACCTTTTCTGTAAAGATCTTTATCTGCACAAGTCAGGAATAATAATACCATCTTATTGGAAGGAGTAACTCTAATGGATAGTAAGGCCCCTCAAGGTTCTTGGCAGATAAAAAGCAGCAAATCACATTTTTATTATTATCATGATCACAATATTGTTAAAGACTCAAGATTTAATGTCTCTGGAACACAGTTTTCTCTTGATTTCCAAGTGTATTTACAATTCCAATCCACCCTCTGTGATTTCATTTTTGCTCATGTGGCCTGTGAGCTGCCTTTCTTCCCTTCTATGTGAGTCCTCCCCCTACCCCCTACCGCCACTCTGTGGTTATTGCTGTCTGTGTGGCACCAGAACATTGGAGCAATTGTCTTTCCACATGGCCCAGGTCGCGACAGCTCCCTGGTCTGTTGGCTCATCTTAGTGCTCCTGAAACTACTCAGTTTCAGTACTCCTCGTTGGTTTTTCCAATCTCTCTCTCTATGTCTCCCCTTGCCTCTACACCTTCCTCGCCAGGATAAGGAATCAGGGAATATGAAAAAAAAAATTTTTTATACATAAAAGAACTGGGGTGTAGGCCAGAGGTGTGTGCGTAGGGTGATGAGAGGATTCACCAGACACAGAGTGGGAAGCAGAACAGGCAGATCTATTGAAATACACTGCTGAGGGGAGCAGTGGGTGAGTCAGGAGAGGTCTGCTGCACCATGAGGGTAGCTCCCTGACCGGGGGTTGAACTTGTGCTGCAGTGGCTGCAGATAGCGTCATAGTGCTGAGACTTAACCCTTTGTGCCACCAGAGAGGCCCTGGAATCAAGAAAGTTTTTATATAAAGAGAAACTTCATATATTTTAGGATTTGTGTGCTACACACATGGTCTCAGTCACAACTACTCAACTCTGCTGCTTAGCACAAATCAAGCCTACACAGTGCATGAACAAATGAATGTGGCTATGTTCCAATAAGACTTAACTGATGGACACTCAATGTGAATTACATATAGTGTTCATGTGTTGTGAGCTTTTTCTTCTTTTGATTTTATTTCAGCAAAATAAAAATAGAAAACCCATTCTTAACTCACAGGTCATGCAAAACAGATGGCAGATAGGATGTGACCTGTAGGTCATAGTTTTCCAAACATTTCTAGGAGTTCCAAAAAAAGAGGTGCTCATCCCTCTCTCGAACTCCTTCTGAGAACCCTCTGGTCCACACTTACGCACTCTTTCTTGCTGGCAGGTCTCATGGAGACCCCAGGACGTTCTGACTCCCCACCACTACAGAGGCAGAACAAGTGTCCACTTACCACATGATCATGATCACTAACTTCATTACGATCTCATTCAAGATGTTGAAGAATTCGACCATGAGCTTGGCCTGGTCTCCCATCTTCCCCATGGCGATGCCAAAAGCAATGAAAAACCCTATCAGACCTGTTGGGTGAATCACATCATACAGGACAATTTAAAAAGTCTGTTTCTTCTTCCTCGTTCTTTCCCATTCCCAACATCTGGAGTCACAGTGTCAATGCCTGTTACCCTCTGAATTTGGAATTAAAAGATAAAAACATTATATTTCACACTGAAAGTAACTTCACCCTGGAAAATTATGGCTTTCCTTAACATTTTCCACATGAACAAGTTGAACTGTAAACAGTGTTAGTTCCTTGAAGAAAATGAATTCATTTTCATTCCACATTAAAAAGCACGCTCTTTGTTTTCCCTCCTCACTTATGAAGTCATGTATAAACAGATTCCAACAGTACATAGATGAGCAAAGAAAGGCTTGTTGGGACTTGGGGATTATCCTGCAGACTTTAGAGCCAATGTTGGAATAGCAGAATCCAATTAGCCCATAGAGTCTGCCAGAATTCTGTCTATATTGGTTGGGTATTGTCCCAAATTAACGCATGGCTGGTGTGTTTCACTGTAGGAAAATCTTAAACAAAAAAAAAAAAATGTTTTTTATTGCTATGTGCCTAAATTGAAAGGGAGAGAAATGTCAAAAATCCAGATGGAAAGGCATAAAAAATCCAAAACAGTTGGGAAACCCCAATTGACCCAATTCATTTGAATTTAACCTGTGATTTGTTAATTCATCCTAATTCTTTTCAGTGTCAAATTAGTTAAATGCTTTCTTTTTTCTTTGAATTTTTTCAGGATCATAAAAATAGAACATTTGCTTCTTCCTACTTCCTTAGTTGGTCCTCTTCTCCCTTCACTGGACATCACTTAACTTCCATCTAAGTCCAGCCCCATGCCAGCCTCCAGGGTCAACCCTAAGTTCAGGGAGGAAATATTTAAGGAGCTCTGTACCCATCTCTTGATGTCAGCATCAAATTGTAGCAAGTCCTGGACCAACTGCAATACTCAGCCTTGGGTCTTATTTGTGTGTTGGCTTTTTCCTCATTCTCTGTACCTGAGTCTCTGTCCCGGGGACTTACCCTATACTCTAGTTCCTCTGAGACTGGGACTGCACTTTTCTCTCCCGGGAAGATTCTCTCCTTGTACCACTTCTTTCCACCCTTCCCCTCAGTGACCACCCCCTTGGCCTAGAATCTCACCAAGACTTGCCCAGGGACTGGGGAAAATCCCATGCCTAACAGATGGCTGCTTACTGCCTAGGGTCCTCTGGATTTCTGATTATCCATCATCATGCATCTCCCAGACTCTACCGCCCACTGATTATTGGCAATCTTGGGGCTCCAATTCTAACCAAAAGTATAACCAATTCTAACTATCAATCAACATTGCTGTCCCCTTGGCTACAGTACCTTGTTCACCTATTTGACTTGTTTTTTAAAGTGCAGTATAGGCCAGTCTCTCTTCCTTCTCTCCCACTTTGTCCCCATACCTATCCTGTCTCAATTTGTGTGATGAGAAATAATATGTGAACATTCTGGCTGAGAAGAGCTAGCATTATTTGATTCATTCACTTTGGAAATTTTAAGAGAAAATACACAAAATCTCAATGTCTCAAAGAACTGGAATAAGAAAGTTCCATTTACAGGATCAGCAGGAACTGACCATATCTATGAGGACAGAGGGAGATTTAAAGGTGCAACCAACTGGGGGTGAGGGTAGAGCCCAGAAGTTGATCTGGAGGTTTTCTCAGGGGAGAAATGAGCCTTAAAGAAGGTCAGAGTGAACCAAGGCGTTCTCTTCACTTGAAACAATGTTTGATCCTTGGGACTTTCCAAAGCCAAAACCAAATAATAAAAAATTCCACCATCTCCAGACTTTGGAAGACATGGAAAGAACCTTATTTTAATCATAATTTCTAAATGGGAAGTTTTTCAACAGTTTTAACTTCCCTTGGCTTTCCAGAGTCTAATCTGCACTTGGAAACCTACATCTAGCTTGTCATTTCCCTCTGCAAACATTGCCTTTTGAACTCACTCACTGGAACCGGGGTGTTCCATTTCAACAAAGCTCTCTTAGACTTGGTCACTGGGATTGAGAGAGTGGTGAGTTATGTTGAAACTCCTTGTTAGAGCCAAAGGTCACGTGACTTCCCAGAATCCACCAAGACTCTGGAAACAACCACAGAAGTCTACTGAATGATTCACCCCAAGCCTCATTACTCAACTTCCTCCAGAGTGTGTAGAAGACAGTGAGACCTCTTGGACCATGGGGATTGTATCTTTCAGCTATGACCTGCCAGAAGGGACCACGGAGAACTGGGAAGATCCTGAAAGGGTCCCAGATATCTGGGCAGTGGGAGTGTTACTTGGTTAATTTCCCTTGGACTTAACCATACTGGTGGAAGCTGAGGTTATTTGCAAACCCTTCTCAGAGGCTATCTTCTACTTCTCCTTTCTCTTTCCACCTCTCATGTCCCACTGATTGTCAACAGTTTACTGATGCGCTATTGCCTGGCAACCTAGACTGGTATCTCCTCCCTTACTCTCACTTACCCAGCCTACTTCCCGCCAGGCCTAGCACACAAAGGAGTCCTCACCTCACTGAGGCCTTCACTTTTCCGTGACTGGGCAATCCTGCACCCTCCACCTCTTCCCCCCACTATTCTGAGTAAGGAGTAAGGTTACCAAATTTAGCATAAACAAAGAAATAGGGCACCCAATTAAATTTTGAATATCAGATAAGCAATTAATACAATAGCTTTGTTTTAGTAAAAGTATTTCCCAGGAAATATTTGAGACCTACTTACACTAGAAAAGTTATTTCTTGTTTATCTAAAATTGACATTTAACCAGGTATCCTCTATTTTATCCAACAACCCTAGCAAGGACACAGAGAATTTGATTTGATTTCCTGGATGACAAAGTGGAAGGACCGCTGAGCTCACCCATTTATAAACAGATCTCACTCAAATTATCAGAAATCCTGAGTGCAAAGATGAGCACATTTCTCATACCTGATTGCTCATTTTTTTCAGCCTTATGACCAAATGTTCCTATTTCTTGTCTTGTGGATAACCTTTTAATGGTGGCTAGGCATTATGGTGGGTAGTAGACCCAGTGGTGGATGGGGAGTAAACTCGACTCACCCACAAGATGGGAGTCTCAGCTGGGGGCCAGGGAAGTGTTTTTTATTGATCCCTTCAGCTCTCTACCCACCTGCCAACTTTTCTTAATGCGAGTAATCCACATGGATGGCACACATGGCCTGCGTGACTGTCTCTACCTGTACGATCTCATTAAATCCTCTTAACAATCTACAAAATAAATGCCAGTCCCAGCCCCACTTGCCAAATGAGGCTCAGAAAAGTGGAGCAACTAGGCCATGGTCAGATAACCAGTGGATTAGTCAAACCTGGCCTGTCTAACTGCCTGTCCAATTGCCTTGGGAATACCCTCCCAGAAAAAGGCTACAGGCCAGGGGAGAGGGCTCACTGGATCCCTGGAAAGGTAAACAAGATAATTCCCTTTGATGAGCAACTTTGGGCACCACAGTCAACACTCTCTATGCCTGACAACACTACATTTGTTTATGGACTTGGAAATCTGGGGTGGAACATCTTCCACGCTTAGCAAGGCACTGATAGAGAAAGATAACATCAAAAAATATTAAAGAAATGAGAAAATTGAATGTGCAACCTAATGAAATGGCAAGTCAGGGAGAGTGATGACTTGCAAACATCACAGAAATTCAGAAAATGCAGCCAGGGGGTGTTAGCCCCCTCTCTTTCCCCAGAACCAACCTCCAGTCACCACATCCCCTCCTGCTCCCTCTTCTGCCCATCTCCCTCTTCCTCACTCTGATCTGCTAGCCCCAGTGACACTTAACTTGCTCCCCAGAGGAATCCGCCTGCTCCACTTGCAGGCCAGCAAAGTCACTGGTCTTCTGAGAGGGGTCCTGGGGTCCTGACCAGCAAGAAAGGCTGGGAGCAGAGGCTCCTCCCCAGGAAGAGGAATACCAGGGCACCTACCTAAGACATTCATGCCATCCTTGAACTCCAGGCCCTTCTTGAGAACCACTTTCGTTTCCTCAGGTGCCTCCGTCACAGTCTCGTTCAGCAGGGAGACCACAGCGTTGGTTGCATTGCCCTCATCGGTCGGAGGAGCCACCAGCACTCTCTTGGTCACTGTTTGAATCTAATGGTGCAAAGGCAAAGACATAAATATGAAGTTGAGACTCGAATGTCACCAAAGGCCTGACTGTTCACATATTTTAATGTTCCCAATGATGTTAAAAATCATTAAGAAGTGCCAAAGAGAGGTGATGAAAATTGGGGAATGTTTTTTATGTTTGTGTTTGACAAAGTGGTGTTTTATTACACAAAAGCTACGGTACAATTGTCCCCATCAAATGATAATCAAATGATTGAGAATGTTCATTGGAAATGTCCTACAAGCAGTGTGACCCAGGCACCAGCTTCAAACTGGGATATGGCTCTCTGTCTCCTTCCTTCCCGTGACTTCAGCTCTGTACCTTGGAGACACTCTCAAATTCCCAACTTGGGTGTGCTTCATAAGTGTGACACCCATTTGGGTGATGCTCCTGGCCCCTGGCTCTGGAACTGGCCAATAATAGGATGACCAGGGTTTTGTTTGGCACCAGGTCAGCACCACACCATCCCTCTCTTTTATTCCTCTCTGCCTGGAAAGAATCTTCAGACTAACTTATCTGGGCACTTTCCAGAGTCAGGTACTTCTGGAACTTCTGCCTGGGTGCCAGATGTGCCAGCTACCAGCAGCCACCACAGCAGGAATTTGGGTCACATTTTAAATCTAGATGCAAGGTGGGAAGACACCTATTCCTTCCGGGCAATGATGCCAAACCTCACACAATGTTTGCCAAGCATCTCTGTGCAAATGGCCTCTCAGGAACCTCCCATGTTATTCCTCGACATCTGTGGCAGCCATTCTATTTTTAAAGGTGCCAGGCACCCTGCATGCAGACTGCTGCGAAAACTCACATATAAGCCCTGAGAAACACTACCCCCAAAGGCATTAAAATAGAACTCATGCAGAATCCTAGAATGTCAGCACCCGTGTGTAGTAGGGAACAGATGGCTGAAGCTTGAATAGACATGGAAGAGGAAGCATGGAGAAGTCAAGTGACTTACAAGATGTCAAAGAGTTATCGGCAGAGCTGGGCTTCAACTCAGATGACCTGCCCCTAAAATCTCTCCCCTTTTGTGCTGCATGATAAATGATATGGACCCAATACTACTGCTGTGGACCCAAGTAAGCACTGCTGAACTGACCAGCTATCTGACACAGGGAAGAAGAGAACACAACATTCTCTGAGATGAGCCAGGATGCCCTCTACCCCAGCCTGCTCGTGTGCACTTGTGCAAGGGGGAGAAGCAGCTTGGGCTGGATGTGTGGGATGAGACAGGCAGCTCATAGGCCCCTTGGCCTGGGCAACCTTGGCATAAAAAGAGATTGCCAGAGCGATCAGAAGGGAGCAACAAAGCCATGCTCCCAGGAAAGAAGTGGGGACCTGAAATGGACTGTAGACTCACCCTGAAATTGCTAAAGAAGCCAAGGCTTGAGTTCACAGGGGTGATGGTCACGGACCTAATAAATGTTGGTTTGAAGGATCAGGTAAGAGACCTGATTTGGGGGTACCTAGGAATACAGACTTGTCCTGTAAAGAACCTGTTACTGAAGTTTATTCTCCTGTGATTTCCTGGAAATATCTGAAAGAGGCTGCTTGGTACTCTAGTTTCTTTTGAAATGGACTAAAGGGAACTAAACCAGGCTCGGGATTAAACAACAGGCCAGGGAATGCTAGGGGTTAACTCAGTAGCCCCACTCAGCAGAATCATCTGTTTTTAAAAATCACCAGTTTTTAAAAATAGATATGCCTGCATGTAGTTGGTAGAGTATATATTGTTGCAAACTTCGGTAGGGGCATTTTGCAATATTCAGTAAGTTTAGATTCTCAAGTTTTTTGGCAAGACATTTTAGCTGCTAGGAGGTTTATTGTCTAGAAATACTAGGAAATTATTTAAAAGGAAAAGAAAGATGGTGATACTAAAACACTTATAAATGAAAAATCAAACTACAAAAAAGTATGTATAATTCAGGACCACTTGGGTACAACTTTTTTTAAAGATTATGCACATGTGCATTATATATTTATGGAAACAAAATCCTCAACAAGAACAACTCTAGGGAAGGACAGTGGAGACTTGAAGTTTTATTTTATATGCATCCATGCTATTTAAACGTCTCCTGATGCCCCTGTCTTACTTCCACAATTTGACAAATAACCAATCCTTGGATGCACCCTGGAAATTGTGATTCTGTAGAGTATGTGTATTTTTCTTTTTTTCTTTTTTTTAAGATTTATTTATTTATATAAGCACTGGTTACAGTCCGAAGCGCGGGAGGGTGAGAGAATTCACCAGAGTTAGAGGGGAGAGCAGAGCAGGCAGACTGACGGAGTACACTGCTGAGGGGAGCAGCGGGTGGTAGGAGAGGTCTGCGCACCATATGGGACCCTCACCCGGTGGACGGGGATCGAACGGGTGCTGCAGAGCCTGCGGGCAGCTTCGCAACCCAGCACTCAACCACTGCGCCACGGGGGAGGCCCACTATGTATATTTTTAAATATACCCAGGTAGTTTGGCTACAGCACCAAGGGTTGAGGACAACTGAGTACTCTGGAGGGTTGTAGACAAGGGTGGTAAAAATGTGTCCTTGCCTAATGCAAAGACCAGAACTAAAAAAATATTAATGAGATTTTTAAAAAGGGGGTGGGGATATAGGTATGGGAAAGATAACAAAACAAACCCACAACTCCAATCCCAAGACCGTCCCAGATATATAACCCATCGACAGAGATCATTCGTTATCAAGCAAATTATTCCACAACTGTTTCATTGAAAGAGTTTTCATCATCTTTAGATGTTAGGAAGCGAGAGAGGCCAGATCATCAGAGTTACCTGTTGAAAACAGGCTTGGACAAGGTTTTCAGGGAAGAGATTTCGAATAAGGTCCAGGAAGGCATCCAGGCTGGACACTTCATCATTTTTCTTCCCAGGCCCCAGCTGTTTTTTGAGTCTGGGGTTCCCAGGGTGGATGGCCAGGACCAGGATGACCCCGAGCACGGCAGCAATGATGGTGGTCGACATGTAATACACCATCGCTCTGGTGCCTAAGCGCCCACTGGCTTTGGCATCCAGGCCCGACAACCCTGGAGGGAGAAGAAATGCAGAAGGAGTAACTTCTATTAATCACCCATTTCTGCCAGTCTACAACATGGCTTTGTATTACTCAAATGCATTAAGGTTCATTAAACTCCTTTTAGTAAATAGTTGGTCAACTACACAGTTTACAATTAATTCTATTTCTCAAACACATTTTTAAGATTCTAGGGAACTAGGGAGAGGTGGAGATCATCTGGTTCAGGGTTCATAAACTGGTCAGTGACTACTTTTGTCAGCCTGCAAGAGAGTTAAATTGAAGTTGAATAAATTCAATGTTTAATTCTGAGGTTGTGGCCTTCTCATAGATGGAAAAAATAGAAAATAAATTTTATCAATCACAAAAATGCAAGAGAAGAGAAATGGCTGTATATTTCTCTTTAAGTAAAATGGCAGATTTCAAAATATATTATTATAATCAATGAAAATAAGTTAACTTGCCATAAAAAGAAAATTGAAAAAAAGTATCCTTTCGTTTCAGCTATCCTTTCTTTCATGAAGTGACAGTACTGGTACAAGGTAGTGTTTTAGTTACTTTATTTTAGGGTTGTCACTTGGGAAAATAGAACACTGCAACCCTATGCCAAGTCTCAAAACACCTTTTGTACACAGTGCTGGTCACTGAAATCGAGAGTCTGAAAGGGTGACCTTGCTGAGTCCTCTCATTCCTACCAGATGAAGCACAGTGGAGACCGCCTTTCTGATCCTATGTAGGAATTAGAGAGCACCCAGCCAATGTGATTTGTGTACACTGAGAAAGGTTCTGTGATTGTGCGAAGGAATTTCAAGTGAGTCACAGCCTTCACTGGGTATTTTATTTTCCAGTTGTTTCTTCATTTTTTCTACTTCCTGGTTTCAGTTCCCTCTTGTACGAGAGTTGTACCCCTTTCTGGGGATCAGTCTTTTTTTGCTGCAGAGAAGCAAATCGTACTTTTCTGAATTAAGATGACCCACTTTTCCTTACAACTAAAGTCTGAATTCCACCAATGGTAGCTGAGTTTCCTCAACAGGTTGGCCAATGTACAACCTGTTTTAAAAGGCATGGTGAACATTTCCTCTGGGTTGGAAAGGAGCATTTCTGGTGAAAGCACAACTTTACTCAATCCAGGATTAAGTGCTGAGACCTTCCTCACATTAAATCCACTGGTCAACCAGCTGTGAGCTTCTAGAACTGCCTGGCTTAGCTTCTGAGTCTGTTAGAGTTACCAGAGCCTTCCTTTCTTCCTAAGGGGGACTAGTCCAGTAAGGCAAGGTCCTCCAGGTTACAGGCTCCCAAATAAGATGAAAGTCCAACTTCATGGAGCTCAGTCACTAAAAAAAATCAATTTATAGCCTGTTTGAACAATATTATTTATTGAGGAGGTCACCAATATAAGCCCATGGAAGGAAAAAGAAATTCTTTCAAATAAAACAATTCTTTTAGCCAAAAACAAATAAATGTGGTCTATATTTTTAGGATGCTGTTCTTTTATAAAACTGAAAGGACTTTCCTATCTTGTATTTGTTTTTAATGCCCACTTCCCTCTATACTCAATAAAATAGAAAATAGAACATTTTTCTCTATTTATTGCCCTTATCCATTTCTAATCAAAATATAAGTTAAGAAAAGAATATTTTTTAAAAACTAAAATCACCACAGACATCATTGCTATTAGCATGTAGCTATGTTTCTTTTACATCTTTTGCTTCTAGAAAGAGATGGACTGATCAATGACTGCAAACATTTTTCTTAGAATTGAATATTCCCATTTTAGAGATAGAGAAACCAAGGCTCTAAAGTGACGTAATATAGGCCATCAGATTCATTCAGATTTTATGGTCAGCCCACAAGCTAGAGCAGGAGAATCACCCACTTTGGCCAGACACCACAGGGGTCATCTTACCTGTGATTAAACTGGAGATGATTAGGGGAAGAATGAGCATCTTTAGCATCCTCATGAGTATATCCCCGGGGAAGGCTATTAGCATGATCACATCAGGGTGGATGGGAGATGCCAGGCGAAGCAGCCCTCCACACACTGCCCCCAGGATGACACCTGGAAGGAAGGGGGAGGAAGGTATGAATTTACTTTTAGCCTTAGTCATATGCATAGCTCTAGGGGATATTTTGGTTCCACTGACTTGTCTCATACTTCTCCATTAGCAGATGATAAATAATGTGTAAGGAACTGAAGTTGATTTTGATGACTGATAGAGAATATTTTGTACCTCCAGCTATTTGGGGGAGTCAGGGAGAGCCTCCCCAAGGCTTCTGGGAAGCATAACACGGCAACCTGACCTGACCCTGACTTCTTTGAGGATTTTGTCCACTTATAGAGTCAGAAATTATCAGTAGAAACAGCCCACAATGCCTGGCATTGCTTCTCCTCCCAGCCTAAGCCTGGTATTTAATGTACTTCTTCCCTTTTAAACCAGATACCAGCTAGAGGAATATCTGATTGTCCAAATTGGTGTGAATTCCCTTTTTTCTTCTATTTTCTTTGGCCTCCAACAATTTCCCATGGCTCAACCTCAAGGAGGTTTCTATGTCCTTTTACATAATCCTTAGACATGCTGATCTTATGGGAGATCAAAGAGAATCTCTAAAAATACACATAATTTGGGAGGAAACAATGTGGGCAGAGAGGCTGGCAGGAGTCTTGCACTTTGCTCACACAGGGAACCACAAGAAAACTTGAGAGCTCCCCCAGCGGGTGGCCAAAACAAATGGCCCTGTGGAAACCACAAAGCAGGTCAGAGCACCATGGGCTGTCAGGAGGAAGGACACCTCCCCAGGTTTGTGAGTTACCTCTGGGGACTCACAGGGAGCTATGTGGCCAAGAGCTTGACCTTTTTTCTTTACAGGTGAGGACATATTGTCCAACTTCTTCAAGACCTATGATGAATGCAATGTGCTTCTGTGGAGAGTAAGCCAGAAAACCCTTCTACATTTGTGGTGACCTTTCACTAAGGGAACTCTCATCGTACCCCCGGTCGTTGACACCCAAGGAGACTGACTCAAAGGAGAATCTGTGGAAGGGAGTGTTGAGTGTGGTTGGGTGGCAGAGAGATAAGCTGTTGATTGTTTCCATGTGGAGCCTGAGTGACAGCACAAGCACAGGGGGTCTGGAGGAAGAAAATGGCAAGGCTGTCATGTCAAGAAGCTGCAGTGGGCCCCACTTTCAATAAACCCAGGTTGAAAACCTAAGACTGTGGTGTGTCATCAACCACACAAAAGACAGCCCTGGCCTGGGCGAGGCTGGAGCAGGGCAATTAGAGCAGATCAAGGCATCTTGGGACAAGTTGCTTCCACACTGATCTTACTGGAGAAGGAGCTAAAACAACCAACATGAATGGGCTGTTTCGAGAAGTTTAGGCCTTGGGAGCTCTCTGAGTGGGGTTTTCTGCAATTGTTGCTTTATCTCTATACAGGTGTTTATCTAAAGTTGGCTCTGCTGACCATCTGCTTTGGAAACACGTAAATTAACAAATGGCTAGGACAGGGAAAGGGGAAAGATGTAACACTGAGCCAGCCATGCGAGGCCCTGGGGAAGTGGGACCTGTGGCAGGTAACTTCCTCTCCAGCTGGCTGCCAGAACCAGCTTCCTCACAGAGCCAGGAGAGAGCCAGGTAAGGGCGGTGAGTCAGGTGGCACCTACCGAAAACCGTCAGAGACAGCAAGAGGTTCTTCCCCAGCTTGTCACACAGGCGCAGCCCCAGATGTCGATGCTTCGGCTCCTCCGAGCTGAGGTGGCTGTCATGCATTCGCACCTCCACCTGCTTGGGCATGTTGTTGGCACTAAAACAGAAGCAAAGGCCATGGTGAGAACCTGCTGGGCATGTCCCCTATGCAGTTTGAGACACTCAAGTAGCAGGAGGTCAATGGACCTTCCCCCAGGCACAGCTGAGAATCTGGAAGCAGTAGTGGCAGGAAAATAAAAACCTGAGCTGCTCAGAGGACCCTAAATCCCAGTTTACCTATTAGCAGGGCACTAGGGCACACTGAATACCTAGGAGCCCTGTTATCTTGAACCATCTAAGAAAAGAAAAGGCACCCTGCAGGCCACAGTAGGGTTTTTCCATGGTTGCCCACTATGGTAACGCTCAGAGCAAAGTATCCCGCCCTGTTTTACAAAAAGTACCTTGCTCAGGTCACAAAGCTAAAAGCAATGGCGACTCAAACCAGCTATGACTGGGTCCAAACCTCACCTTTGTTTCACCCATAACAAGAGCAAAAGATGACTTTTGAATAATCTAAGGTCAGAAGAGTCAAGGAAGGCCCCTGTCATGCTCAATTAAGATGCCCCTGAGCTCAAATCTTCTGCATTCTTAACAGAGGAACCTTATAAATACTGGTAGTACATGTTTTTACCTCTTTTGGGGGTGGGGGAAATGTTTTATTTAGTTGAAAGAGTCAATCCAGGGCCTCCCTGGTGGCGCAGGCAGTTGAGCGCAGCTCTGTGAGGCTGCCCACAGCCTCTGAAGTGCCGGTTCGATCCCTGCTGGCCACGGAGATACCCATATGGGGCAGCAGACCTCTCCTGTCTCACCCGCTGCTCCCCTCAGCAGTGTATTTCGTCAGTCTGCCTGCTCTGTTCCCCGCTCTGTCTCTGGTGAATCCTCTCACCCTCCCGCACACCTGGCCTGTACCCTGGTTCTTGTATAAATAAATAAATCTTAAAAAAAAAAAAAAAGTCAATCCATTTAGTTTTAAAAGGTTACTTACATTATCAGGACTCTGCTGAGCTACCCAAGATTCAATGCCACTCAGTGTTATCATGTCGTAAAGTGTGATTATAGGAAATCTTTACCCCCAGATCCGGCCCAGCCCCCTTCCAGATAAATCTGGTGTGAGCCTGAGTTGTATTGAGAACCGGCTGTGGAAGCCCTTGCCAGCTAATGAGTAGATAGCCGCTTCCGGTTTTGTCCTTTCCCAGAACAGTAAGATTTCCAATGTAAGTATGGGGAATGACACAGGGAGGCCATTTTTTTACTCTGACAGATTAGGGCTTTTGTTAGCTGCTATTTACAATCACTATAATCGGTTGATAAAAGAGAAACAAATCTTAACTTCTAGAAAGACAGACTACAGCTTCTGAGTAAGTTAGTGTTTTCCAAGGTAGAAAGATATTAGTCTTACCCAGTGTTCTCATCATATCTGAGAAACCATTTTTATTTTTGGCAGGGGATGGGGGGAGTTGGGCTACACTGTAGAGCAGTGGTTTGGAGTCACTGGTTATAATGGAAGGAGCACAGGCTTTAGAAGCAGAGAACCAGGATTTCACCTTCTGACTCCATTGCTCACTGGCTGTGTGGTATATAATGAACAGGGTTTGATGCCCACCTCATGGAAATTAAACATGATCCTGGAAGTTGGAGAGCTGGTATAGCCCCTGGCACAGATGGTTTCTTCTCCAGGGGAGATGAAGAAGACACATAATACTCATCAAGTTCATAACAAGTCAATGATCAACTCAAGGCACCTACTCAGTGGCACCATCATTCCAACAAGACACCAAGCTTTGCTTCCAGTCTCAGAATTAAGATCAGGGACCCAAATATAACTACTTACTTTTCCATAAAAGGCTGTTTATTCTACTTGCTCCCAAAATGTTTTAAAATTAGGATATTCCATGATCTGTTAAGATATCCAGATGAAAATACTAAACAAAATGTAAGCTTTTAGTCACCCATGAATGGCCTAATTTTCTCTTCCTTCTAGAGATTTTGGGGCAGTCTCTGACTTCTAATCTATGTGTGTGCTGGTCACTCACCATCTGAAAAAGAAAATAGGACATGGCGATTCACAGCATGCAGGCAAGGGGCTTTCTGATCCAGAAACCACTTCCTCTCATCACTCAGTGAAACTGACAGAAAAGTTCTTTTTACAACCCAGTAGGGGAAAATGATCAAAATGATCTTTTTAACATGAACAGACCATATTTCTATATTTGCATTGGGATCTTTTTACACTTTTAAATAGTTCTCCAGCCAGTCATCTAAAGCTCTAAACCAGGAAACGGGCAACAAAGAATGGAAATAATATGTGTTCTGAATGGTGAATATATTCCATTAGTCAACTCTTGGCAAAATTCTAGGATTCTCTTGAGACTGTAATCTTCTCGCCTCGTGCATCACTTGAATCCCTCTTGCCACTGAAGTTAGAATCAGGCACATGGTTGGCATTTAAGTGAGACTAACAAGCATTTAAAGTAAACATTCTGGCCACATCCATGTGATGTAACCAAAATGTCAGGCAGCAAAACAGCCATCCCAAAGTACAAACACACAAATATAGGTTAACATACACACCCCATCCAGCAATGTGATTGGATGCCTGTTGCACACCCTTCTTAGTTACACAAAATTGCTGCATGCTTCATGGTTTGCTTTTCAGGTTATAACAAAATGTCTCTGAAACTCTGAATCAAAACAGCCACATCAAAGTGACAGCATCAAAATGTCATGTGCCCACAAGTATTTATTGAGAGAATTCCTGTAACTTGTTCTCTTGGAATTGAGCAAATGTTCCAGACTCATAGGAGCTCCTGCATCCTGCAGATATACCAAGAAAGACATTTGTCATATAATTCAGGGCCTCAGCTTGCAACTGGGGCACTGGGAGTCCCCCAAAGAGCTCTTTGTAAGCATTCTTTACCCATCTAAATGATCACTGTACCCCAAAGCACAAAGGGAGTCTAAAATGGGGACTATTATAGAATGTAACATTGCATAGTATTATATAACATAATATAGAGCTATTTCTAAGTCTTATATATCTCCAGGAGGACAGAAGTTTTTAAAATGAGATTATACATATGCACAGCTATATAAATGTTGGTTGCTGAATGCACATAGTAACAGTGGAAGCACAAGTATAACAGGTATTTATTAAATATTCTCAGTGTCAGACACTATACTCTGTAATGAGCAAGATGTAATCCTTGCTCTTAAGGAGCATTTGATGGGGAACAGGAAGCACATTGTGCTCTACTTGTCTGCTTCACATATTGGCCATGAGCGATCTCATCACAGGATGCTGTGGAAAATGGCAAGAGCAGTTGTTAAGTCCACTTTGGGGAAGAAGAGAGTTAAAGAAGGGCACCAAGAAGGTGCTGGTGTCAGATCCTGAAGGACGGAGCTCATCTCAATATCGACATCCTCCACAAGGCTCTAAATACTGGAGAGCAGGACTGTAAGCTTTACACTCAGACTCAGATCTTGATAAATGTTTGCTCAAAGAAATTAAGATCTGGAGAGCAGCTCTAAGGGCACCCTGCTCTCTTCTGGAACAAGTGCTCTCTGCACCTAGACAGACAGCATTCCATCTCAGCAAGCCTCTTTCCATCCTTGCATACATTCTACAACTTTCTGTGGGGGTACATATTAAAGACTCCCCTCTGTTCTAGGTACTGAAGATATCACACACACACAAAAACCCAAAACCCTTGCTGTGGTGGAATGGATGTTTTAGCAGGAAAATAACTAAATGAATCCATGTATTTCAATGGAGAACATGCTAGGAAGAGGTGGCCTGTGGAAGGAGACTTTTGCATCAGGTGGCCAGGGAAGGTTTCTATGATAAGGAGACATTTGAACAGAAACCTAGAGGAATGGCAGGGTCTCCTACATTAATTATGCAATGTGTCCAGAGTTTAGAAAAGAAACAGAATAGGTACCATTTGGAAGCTATATATCCAAATTAGAGCCAGAAGCTCCCTCAAAATGCATTTCCTAATGCCCATATGTTGGTGTTTAGCACAGGCACTGATTCAAATGAACGCCACATCACTAACGCAGAGTCCTACCACCATTGTAATATATCAGCTTCAGTTCCCAGGGAGGAAATGGTTACCAGGGAGAGGTGAGTTGGACACAGGCCAACGGCCTAAAGTCACAGCAGCTGCAGGTTTGCTCCCGGGCAGTGGAACAGAAAGGGCAGGAACTGGTTTGGATAAGCCCACCAGAGGAACACAGTTTTTTCAAGGGTGCACACTTAGCTACTGAATCCTTCCTTCCTAGAACCAAGGTCTGTGTGGATATAACCAAGTATTCTAATAAGGAATTGGAAAGTCCTGGTGTGGCTGAGAATATTCCAAATCAGGAATTTCCGAGCCTGATGCTCTCCAACACTCGATTTCACCTCTACTTCTGTTGAGTGCTGTAGTGACAGGAAGGGAAGACAGAGAGCAGGTTTTCTATGATCCAGCAGACAGCGTAAAGGAGGAAAGAGTCCTGGAGCCCTCGGTGGCTTTGCAAGCTATTATTGGGATTTACCAGGCACACACGGCAGGCAGGGGTTCTGGGGGGCCGGGAGACTGGCAGGCCTCCCAGGCCCCAGCAAGTCTTCACTCTATCTGGGCTCTCCAGCCTTCTCTGGTGTTCTCTCTGCTTCTCTGCTCTCCTGCTTTTGTTCGTTCTTAGCTTCTGCTGGCGTCCCCGTGACGCCGCCCTTATAAACTCAGTCTCTCAGCCCAGGTGTACCCACTTCAGGTGCCCGCCATCAGGCATGCATTCAGGCCCACAGGGTTCCCTCATCTATCCTAATGGTGGGAGGGCAGAAAGGCCTGATACTTTTACCTTACCCTACAAGTGCCTTTTGGATGGAGGCTTTAGCCATGCAGTTCCTTAATAGTGGAGCTTTCTCTAAGTTGCTTCTGCTGGATCTCTCTCCATTGTCCAACAGGGTAAGTAACCGTGTGATGGGACAGCTGTTTAGATCATTTAAAACTATAACAATCACCCTATCATTTCCTTCAGCATTAACCTCTCCATTGAATTATTTAAACAGCTGTTAAC